CTCTGTCGGTTTAGCTTAGACACGGGAAACTCTCAGGTTTTTGTGTTGTAAAAGTATGAAAATAGTATTAACATGTTTAACGAGTCTATTTAAAAAACAAAATTATAAAAAAAGTTGTGAAAAGTTCCTTTTGACAGATGATATGACATTTAACTTCGACTACAATTAATCGTTCAGTACTTGTTTTCGCGTGACTTTAATTCCTCGATTTGGCCAAAACAAAAGGTTATAAAATGTTTACAACCTCTTGGCCAAACAATTAGAGGGAACTAAGAAAAAATTGTCAAAATACTGATCAGTAGGAACAAAGAATTAATTTAAAAGTATAGACAGCTTGTCTTGACGTTTTACAAGGAGTCAGAAAGAAATACAGTGGCACCTGTACGAAGCGGCACCGTATGAGCGGTCATCCTGTATTTAGCGGTCGGTTGTCAGAGTCCTGAAATTGTTACCTCTTAGTTATTTTAATTTCCACCTGTATTAAGCGGTCACCCTGTTAAGTAGTTGTGGTCACCCTTTCCTGAGTGCCAGCGGCTTGTTGTTATCTTTACAAAAGGCTTGTGTTGTTTGGAAAAAAAAGTCTAGCTTGGGATCCATGTTGATGCTGTTCTTTCATTTTATAGGTTTTTTTTTTCAAGTCTAAGTGAAAGCTGCTGCTCAGGAGAATCGATTGTTATTATCTTCAAAACGGAGAGGTTCCTTTACGGCCCCAAGGTGTTCATGCAACCAAAAAAATTGCATTCATGAGTAAAACGAACAACGAGGGACAAAACCCTCAAGTTAAGGTCTCCGATCAGGCTCGTAATTTCGTTTTTTTTCCTTTCTCATCTCTATTTTGATGTTAAAGAGAAGACGAAAACTTTGGTGCAAAGAATATCATGTCTCCAATTTCCCTCCTCTTTAAGTACCTTCATAATTACAACATCTCGCTAAAGTAAAACCAGCTTTACTATTCAATTTAATCTCTCTGTCTTTGCTCCTGCAATTCCTATATACATTATTTCATTAAAAAATTGAAATGCGCGGTAATTTTGGCCATTGGAATATAATTAAGTCTAAACACAATTTTGCATCTCCAGTCCCTGTTTACTCTAGCGACAGCAAACTGCATAAAGTGCTTGTTAGCCACACTGAAGATTTTAGTCATTAAAGCGGAAGACACTTGAGGACCGAATTTAAATTACGCTGACTGATTTTTGCTCCGAAACATTTTCCGTAGTATGTCTATGATGGCCAGTACAATGTGTCTCATCTTCCAGCAGTTAATGACAGTGTTCGAAAATGAATCAGAAATATTCAAGTCAATGAGTCAATGCTCATTTTAAATTTTATCCTTGAGTGACAGCTAGCTATGTTTTTTAGGGTATTAATAAAACATACATAATGAAACTTATGGTTTCACTAATTTTCCAACACCTCAGTTCTTGCTATTTCCGAATGAGTTTTTGCAGTAATCGTTGCTGTTAGAGGTAAATGCGTATAATTTGAGTTTCTACAGCAGAAAGCCATCATAAATAGTTCATCTGTAATTTATCTTCTTAAGGGACTGGTCACTATTTATCGCCTGTGGGGAGGAGAGGTCGGAGGATTTTGGCTGTGTCAAGACATTATCCCCCAGTGATAAGACTCTGTAACGTTCTTATGACCCTCTCCCTCCTTATTAACGTGTCAGTTTTTAATAATCTGCCTTTTTTCTCTGCTGGCGACGACTGATCACCCACCTTTATTTTATCCCTGAAAACCGGGAGAAATCGACCATATTTTAAATATTCTCTGAGGCAATTTTTCTTTAGTCCCTCCCCTCCCTTGAAACTCTGTTGGCGACCACTGATCCCCGCTCTGGTCCCCTGGAAACCAAGAGAAATCGATTTTGAAAAGCATTCTCAAATTGCCACGTATAATCAACATAGATATGCCCAAAAATTAAGCCGTTGATTATCTGTAGAAATAAACATTTGAACAATTTTATTACAAGACTAATGTGGTTACTACATTTCACTTTCAGAGTGTATGCGTGTTGTTTGGGTAAAAAACACCGTAACGTATTTCAACTTGTTTGTGTGCCCTTTTAAGCATCACGATATCTCTGTAATGACTAGAGTATCAAATTTTACTCTTTATGCGTAGTTCATGACCAGATATTTAAACGAAAATTATCGAGAAGGCGCCTTCCGATCACTTTTGTTTACTTTGTAAGTCACGCAAGCGCGTAAGCGTTACGACCGATCACGTTTACGCAATGTTTAAGGACAACTCGGCATCTATTCTCCCTTCACTTGTTATGAAAACCTGAAATCTTTAACGTAGAGGATAAACAAACGAAGTTTGAACGGTCAAGAGGAGATCTTGGTCGAGTTTCAGAATTATGCAAAGGATCATTGACACGAGCGCAATTGAGCAAACACATGGATTTGCGTTGTTTTTAAGTTGTTGGTGGATGAAAGCTACATATATAACCGCGGGTTTCAGGCAATCGGTGACCTCATTGGTGTATAAACTATACACTGATATGCTTTTTTAGCTCGATTAACGGCTTCATTTTGAGATTTCTTTCGTACAAATAGGTGAATTTTGATATGCAGATAAAGGTCGAAGAGAAGGCTCCCCTCAGATCACGCTTGTATGAAAAATATTTCAGCTGAAGTTTCCACATTTTGTCTGTGAACTAATTGAAGGTACCTTGTAACTTGTAGCAAGATAGAATTCCGTGAGCTATATTATTGCAGTCGCTACGCGCTAGACAAATTCTGTGAAATTTACATTTTCGATTACTGTCCGTAATGGTGGTCTAGCCAAAAGTTATTTTTGGCTTGTGGCGACGCAAAAAATGAGAATTGGAGAACAACTAAACTATTTTTGAAACATGTGTCCTAAACCCTTTTTATGGGCAAAAAATAAAAGAAAACTTTTTTCCGTCGGGAAGTCGAGAGGACCGTTCTAGGCGAGAGCGGCACTTAAATTATATATACCAATTTCTATCGGTTGCATAATTTCTCAATTTCATCTGGGGAGATTTTCATACTCTCCATGGCGAAACATCAACATATCATGATATAAATGCCGAACTAAATGTTTTTTTTAATTTGAATTGAGTTCACCAGCCGTGAGACAATCTCTTAATGCTGGTATTGCGTGACAAGGCTAGTTCACGGCAGTCTACAGTCACGTTTAAAAAAAACTCCACGGCGTTAATCATGAGAACCAACTAGCTCACAATCTAAAAAACTTTCGCAAATAGTGAGACGAAATTTTTCCACAAGTAAGGGTGAATTTTTTCCTGAAGAAAAACGGCAAAAGAGGTCTGAAAAGATTATGCATAAGATAAAAACGCTTGCGGGAAATTAACAACTTTTTTGTCAAAACAAACTGGATTCCCTTAGCGCATTGTGTTCAAAGGAATTGGCTCTTAAAATTTTACGTAAAGCTTTCAAGAAAGGATACAACAGATGAGTTTCACATTCATAGGAACACTTCTTTGAACGGCTAAATGTTGTTACGGAAACTATTTTTGACATGTATTATAACACGAACGCATGAAGCTGATTTGCATATAGGAATTATTAACGAAGTATTTTTCCGGAAAATTTGAGCCATTTCGTGAAAAAATGGCCAAAATGATGAATTATATCGATCTTGATACTCAATCAGATAATCGTTGCGGCACCTTCAAGAATTTTAGGGCTGTTACACTTCAGAAACTTGTCTGCAGGTCGGACCGCCTTATCGTTGGTTTCAATCAAGATGGCGAATATTTATGAAATTCGCAAAGCTCTCTACGGTGCAGGATGAGGTGTGCCCAAAAGTTTTATGCTATGTTTAACTTGCTGTTTCTAATTAATTTTAAGCTGCAATAGACTTGACTCTAGATCAGGTCCCACGTAAGAGAAAATAGCTTTCAACTGCATGTACCTCACTCCTCACAAATTTCAATGCTCACGATAAGGTATTTTGAAAATTTCATAACTCGGTAAAAATTTTATAGAATGCAATCATTTTACTTTTAACGTATTGAAATAAAGTCATTCTTAAATATGTAAAATAATCAGCTTTCTAGGGAAATAAGAATTTGGTAGCGCTCGATATTTATAGCTTAATAATATGGGTCACAGATGGCAAATTGAGCAGTTTTGGGGTGACCTGTAAAATTGTCTCATAAAAAATAAAAATTATGAAAAATGATCAAAATAAATGTGATTTGTACACGGAATAGAATTTTTGACTTTCACTGAAAAACTTAGGGAAATCAGTGATCGGCCGAAATTTGCCTTATCCGTTCTTACGCGGACAGCCTCTTAACTTGTTCAGAAATTAAAAACGATTGTCAAATTGATGTCAAAACCTATCTGTTATTTGCATCTATGCGAAAGGAGATGACAAGGAAAAACATACTTAATTTTAAGTTCTCAAAACTCCCGCTGTTATCAAGGACCACCTGCAAACATCTGCGGGCTAATCGATAACTTTATAGCATCCTTTGCTTTTGTTTTCATACGCAGCATTCTGCTTTGACTAACTTTTTACCACAAAGTGTTGAGGCAAACTCGATGCTTTTCGTTGTTTGTTTAATTTTCAAGTATATCGTCCAATCTATTTTCGTTTAGAATCCACTCATTAGCTGATGATTAACACCGATTCTTCTTCCCTCGTAAATACTAGCTCCTGTCGGTTTTTTTTTCCTGAAGGCATTACGAGACGTTCTTAATGCGACGCTATACCGGTGTATCGTAGAATCGTTTAGAGTTTTTAACTTCTAATGAAAGAGCCGAAAGTTTATTCCCTTCACTCACGATCATACCTTATACTTATTTGGTGTTTAGTTCTGAGAATCTTACTATCAGTACCATGTCCTTAAATTGATTATCTCTGTCATTCTAGAGTCTATTTAAATTTTACATTCAAAGGAGTCAAGTCCTACTTTTATTTACATCCATAATTACAATTTCACTATCCATCGATGATAAAACCAGCTTTCTTGCTCAAATTAACCTTTCCCTTCCACATTACAGATTGTTCGATTTATCGAATGCTTAAAATTGGAACTACGGGATTATTTGGCTGTCGGTTCATATCACTAAGTTTATGTACAATCTTGTTAGTCCCTATTTCACTTTCTCGTAAACAATTACGGCCCATAGTCTTTGTAAGCCACATAGAGGGGATCAGTTATCAATATGGACGACACTCGATGACCGATTGTAGTTGATACGAAATGGTAGATTGTTGATCCAAGACATCTTTCGCAATATGTCCATGATTGCGTGTCGAATGTGTCTCATCTTCCAGCAGTAAATTATAGGGTTCAAAGATGAATTTAGATACATGAGAGTCAATGAGTAAAGTAAAAGTTTCTTTAGGACGATACTCGAGCCATAGGTTCTAATAACAGCCATGCAAATGAGATGGGGCAAATAACAAATTAAAAACACGAGATATACGTAGAATATGCCAACTGTGGATTTAATGAGAACAATAAGGTTTTTTAACTCCTCAGACTGAGCCTCATCTCGTATTTGCATGGAATGAATGTGATTCTTGTGCCGTCGTACAGTTATATATATTCTGATGTACACCACAAACGTGATAATGAGACTGAAAGCTTCAATAATTGTATTTATAAGATCCCTGGTACTAAGTAGCCCCCACAATATTATCAAAGAAACAAATGTACTTTTCACCCATATACCAATCACAACAATAACAACACGCCTGTGAGTCACAACCTCTTGGTATCTGAGATGAAAATGAACAGCCAAGAACCTGTCTACACTTACAGCTACAACACCAAGAAACGAAGCACCTGAAAATAAAATATTTGAAATCGTCCGCACTTGTTTAGTGTTACAGCTAGGATTGTGTAGTCGAAGCCAGTTGATCAGAAAGAAAGTGTATAATGGTTGACTGAATAAACCAACAGCAACATCCGAGCAGGCAAGACTTAGCAGCAGAGTTTTCAAAGTTTTTGGCATTGTTGAAGTTTTGTATATGGCGTAGATTGTAACAATATTCAACATGAAGGCGGTGTAACTAAGAAAAATGTTAAAGACACAGTTGGCGATACAAGTCGAACGAAGATCTTCAAGTTCAGTGAATATCGGAAAAAACTTCGAAGACTGGTTACAAAACAATTTGCTCATGATATCCGCTAGAGGCTGCTATTTCAGCAAATAGTGAATGGTTTGCGATATTTAGCAAGCCAAATTCTCACAAGCCTTACTGAAGATAACAACGATAGCACCTTCCGTTATTCAACGTTCAAGTAAACAGTCCTCAGGTCTCAACAGATGGTTGTGACTGGTGCTGAGACGGGAAGTTAAAAGGAAATAAATTAATTATGACACAGGACGAAATTGCAAGAATCCGTAACCGGAAACGTGGCAGAAACATGTTAAATCGTTCCGGAAACACGACGGATAACCTGTGTTTCCGTTACCGGTTTCGTGACGTTTTCTCGCGTTTCCGTTGCTGCGTATACAACGGAACCGGACCACTTTTTGTGCATGTTTCCGTCAAGTTTCAGCTAAAGGAAACAAATGTTTCCGCAATCGTAATTTCGGGTTTACATTTGCGGAAACACAAGAAAACGTTGCGGAAACATGTCTTTTCCATGTTTCCGTTGACGTATTCCGGGCTACTGAATGGGTGATGGAACCTGCGGAAACACAAGAAACCGTTCCGGAAACTGAGGTCTGTTTCATGTTTCCGCTACAGCTTACGTCTCGGAAACGTGTTAATTCAAATTTATCTTACCCTTGCGGAAACTTTCTAGCTTTGGTAAACCTTTTTTTCCCTCTTTCTTTCCGAAACGCACCCTTATAATGTTCATGGTAGGCGGAAAGTCTTATTAATTAATTTACAGAACACCTCTTATGGCGTTTTCCCCTTCAGTCAAAGAAATACTACAGCTATATTTTGCCAAAGCGTCATTTATTTTTCTTCCATAAGATAAGGTTGTAGTTAAATAGAGCTTCAATTCATTACAGAGCCTACTATTCGCAAAATCCACTCCACTCACATGAATGTCTTATTTGGCTTAACCAGCTCAAATGACACAATTGTCTCTTTTTGGCCTAACCAGCTCACATCCCAGAAATGTCTCACTTGGCCCAACTGGTTCAAATCACACAACAATCTCATCTGATCCAACCGGCTCAAATCACACAACTGTCTCATTTGGACAAACCAGATTAAATGACACAACTGTCTCATTTGGCACAACCGGTTCAACTTGTCTTATTTGGGCCAACCAGATCAAATGACACAGTGGTCTCATTTGGCCCAACCGACTTAAATCACACAACTGTGTCATTTGGCCTAACTGGCTCAAATCACACAACTGCCTCGTTTGGCCCAATCAGATCAAATGACACAACTGTCTCATTTGGCCCAACTGGCTCAAATCCCTCAACCGCCTCATCTGACCCAACCGCCACAAATCACACAATTGTCTCATTTTGCCCAATCAGATCAAGTGACACAACTGTCTCATTTGGCCTAACCGGCTCAAATCCCACAACCGTCTCATCTGACTCAAATCACACAACTGTCTTGTTTTGCCCAATCGACTTAAATCACACAACTGTCTCATTTGGCACAACTTGTCTCATTTGAGCCAACCAAATCAAACGACACAACAGTCTCATTTGGCCCAATCGACTTAAATCACACAACTGTCTCACCTGGCCCAACTGGCTCATATCACACAACTGTCTCATTTGGCCCATCTCATTTGGCCCAACTGGCTCAAGTCACACAACTGTCTCATCTGATACAACCGGCTCAAATCACACAACTGTCTCATTTGGACAAACCAGATTAAATGACACAACTGTCTCATTTGGCACAACCGGTTCAACTTGTCTTACTTGGGCCAACCAGATCAAATGACACAGTGGTCTCATTTGGCCCAACCGACTTAAATTACATAACTGTCTCATTTGGCCCAGCTGGCGCAAATCACACAACTGTCTCATTTGGCCTTAAACTGGCTCAAATAATACAATGTCTAATTTTGGCTGTCTCGTTTGGCCCAACCAGCTCAGTGCACACAACTGTCTTCTTTGGGTAACCGGATCAAATGACACAACTCGTCTCATTTGGGTCAACCAGATCAAATGACACAATTGTCTCATTGGCACCAACCGACCTAAGTCACACAACTGTCTCATTTGGCCTAACCGGATTAAATAACACAGCTGTCGCATTAAGATTCCTTGTTGTTCAAAGAACCATCTCGCGTTTGTGTTTTGGTAAGATGTAGCAAAAACCTGCAAATCCGTTTGCAGAAACATGACGGAAACGAACAACGGCGGAAATGTGCTGGCTTCAATATGACGGAAACGTGACTTGGCATTTCCGTTCCGTTAATGTGACGGTAACACGTAGGCTTTAATTTTCACGTTTCCGTAAGACGTAAACATGGAGTTGCATGTTTCCGCCACGTTTCAGAAATACGGAAACATGTGATTTCGTCCTGTGTGAGTTTTTCTTGATTACCTCCTACCTACGTGTAACAGTTCGTTTGTCTAGCTCGTTTAATTTCTCGTTCATGTTCGTTAATTCTAAAACAGACTATGAAAAAATAGGTGGCTTAGCTACGGACTGATCAGTGTTTATCAGTGTTTAGCGGGTGGGGAAGGGGGGATTGGGGGTCGAAGGATTTTGGTTGTCACGATAAAATTTACCTGACTCCCCCATAAGCCTCTGTAATATTCTTATGATTTTTAGCTGCCTCATTAGCAGTTCAATGGCAGCCAATTCTCTACATTCCTTAAAGGGTATTCAACTAGAAGTCTGCAAGTGCTGCCAGACCTCTGGCACACCTCTCCCCGATTCGTCTCAAGTCTTCCCGCGGGCAGAGAAAATCTGCTTGGAGGTAGTCTCGTACCAAAACCCTCTCACGGCCAGGCGGTTCTAACTTACATTTCAGTTACAGTTTAGAAACGGTAGGATCTGGTTTCGAGATTAGCTCGCAGGTTACTGAATTTGAGCAAAACCGTTAATTTTTGGCAGAAATCTAAACTGCAAACGAACAAAGGGAGTGCGCTTTCAAAGAAACTATGATGCTACTTCAGTGATAGCCTGAAGTGTAGGCGTCTTACTAGAGCTAGCTAGCGTTATCACGATCGTTTATCCGAATGGCCATGTCTGATTTGAAGTTAAAGTGGACAGTGGGGGTAGGGGACAGAGGAATGGGCGAAAAGGCAGCTGCCCGAAGAGGCTGTTAAAAAATTCCATACACCCCCTGATTAGTTGCGCTTCACTGCATTTCCGGAATAGGCAGGTAACCAATAAAAATCAGTTTCTTTAAAAACCTTTGGCGATGACTTCCGGAAAAAACAAACACATTTTGTGTAATGTCCCATAATAGAGCGAGAGACAACTATAGGCTTTGCGCAGTTTCCTTTTCCTCAAAATTCAGTTGGGAAATCTTCCTAATCAAAGCCTCTCTTCATCAAAACGCATTTTCAAACCTTCGAAACGGAAAGAGTGCCTTGGGGTTGTTTTGAGCGAAATTTTTCGTCAAGTTGGATTTTCCTTGGTGCAAGATAGCTCGAGATCTTCAAATCGTGTTTGCAAACCATGTGGCCGTAGGACTCGAAATTCAGGCCAGTGCTACCACTTTGTCGAGAACGCGACTGCAACGACGTCTTCTCCAGTTAAAACTAGCAAAGGAAATCTCAACACGCCAGATAAAGCTAGTCCACTGCGGAAGAAATTAAAATCTGTACGTGTCAGTTCCCCGATTGAGAAGACTCCGTCGGGGAAAGTTCCTCCCAAGCGATCAAAAGAGTCTCTCGCCTTCGAAATCACAGCGAATACCGCATCTACTTCTTTCGTACAGGAAAACGAGATGCTGAGTCAACTGATAGTGGAAGATCTTCCAAACGATGGTGTAAAAATCGTGTTCATGAATTAGTCGGGAAACGTGACTGTGAGAATTCCCAAGGATTCCCAAACGAAAACATTGGTGAAGAACATTCACACCAAACAATGGAGAGAAGCTTTTAATGAGATTTTAAAGCACGAAGAAATTGAGCCGGAACTAAATAAAGGAATCACCAAGTTAGTGTCAGTTGAGTTTGACGAATACTTGAAATCTGGAAGCATATTGGAGGTGCGTAAATCCGGACGGGCTCGCTTGTTTTTCGAACAAAATTTTCTTGAATGAGGTGAGAATTTTCTGTCCCCTCTAGTTTGACTGCGTTTGATTGCACACAATGATTGCACACATATTCTAGTGAAATGGTGTGGCTGTTTTTTTCATTAAGGAAAGAAATGGGTTCGCAAAAACCTCCTCTGCCGACGCAAATACGAGGTTATATTTGCCGCACTCAATTTCCTCCAAACAACAATCCGTGAGCATAGCTGCCGTCAATCCCATCGAGGATGCTTCTTCCATTTGAGCATAAACAATACCCTGAAGCGGACAAACGACAACTACGGTAGAAGGTTTTCTCGTCATTATTTCTTTTTTAGGAACCAGCCGTTGAAATATCAGGCTCTTCCCAAAACCAGTTTTTTCCAGAAACCAGTGTAGCAATTGCTTCTTTTTGTTCCGAGACGCACCAAATTCCGAAAAACTCTTGATTGCTTCCTTAGAGAGCGGAATCGAAACTAAAACTTCACGATCAGAGTTCGCCATCTTTCTATTTCTCCAGCAAGAGCTAGTATACACTCAAATGATTGACAGCATGCGATTAACGGCTGGAGCTTAATCGCACCAATCCGGAACTCCGCAACAGGCGTAACCCTCACTCCCCCACCCTACCCTTCTCCCTATTTTTGTCCGTCAGCCGCTCCCTTTGTATAAATTTCTTTCTCTCTCCAGCCTTCCGCTGCCATTAAAATCAACGATCGCGGCCATAATTTTCGTTAAGAAAATACTGAACACTCGCTCGCCAAAATCACGCCTGCTCTGTAGGCTACTTCGCTGGGGGGCATTACGAGACAATTTGATTTTATCTGAGTTGATAATGTAAATTGGACACTGAGGAGAGTTTCTGGAACTGATGTTTCAACTGCTAGCTTTTCGTCGGAGTTAATGTCGCAAAAAGCATCAGTCGGGTTATTCCGTTCTTTTTACTGTCCGCCTCTTCTTGTTTCGGGTTCTCATTCGCTATTTGTGATGTGAGCCACTGTTCCGATTGCCCATGTGGATTAGACTGGTTTTGTTCTTTCGACACGCAATTGAAACCTTCTTTATTCCAAAATTTGCGTTTGAATTTTGTAAACATGGTTCCCTGAGGTTCACTCTTTCCAATTTGCACTTCAAAGACGAACACCACACCAACCTCGCCTTAGTCCCCCCATAGATACTGATGAGGCACGGTAAACTGAACATGGACAAACGAAAGAAGCAACTTAATTCTCTGTGCATTATTTGCACAACATTAAGTCGTGCTACAGCGACAAAAAAATAGGGAACTTCGGGTACACAGACACAAAAGAGACGAAAGTAAGCAGGTATCACTTGGGGAAATAATGAAGACATTACATAGTACATTGTTTTAATTTCAAACGAGAAAATTAATAATGTACGCAAAACAAAAACATAATTGATAGCTTGTAGTCCTCCTGGAGGCTATCATAAAAATTTCAGTGTTCCCTTCAATATGCTTGCTAACTCTAAAGTTTCTCCGTCGTGCCAGTTCCTCATCATTCGGCCTCCAAAGCTGTACAACGTACGTCCTTGTCGTTTCAACGCATATACAACGTCCATGGCAGTCACCGTCATGTGCTCCATACCAACTCTTCTAGCCAAACGTCTTATGGCCGGCTTGGTTATATCCTGGGTGTTGTCTCGTAGGATTTTTCTGTGACGTTTTGCACCTCCTTTACCCAAACCTTTTCCTCCTTTACTGGGACCGGACATGTTATTCAACTAATCCGCTCTGTTTGTCTAACAAGGACTGTGCCAGGTTTGTTTACGACAAAGGAAATAAGGAGAAAGAACATTGTAGACAAACTTAGTGATATGGCTCAGCAAGCAAATCCTTTCGAATTTTAAATACACTTTACATTAAATTCTTACTAGTGGAACGAACGAGGCCCATTAAATAGGAAGACTGGTTTGGTTATCAAAGTGTTTTAGCTGATTTCCAAATTAAACGAGCTTCATTGCCTTTTGCCTCGGCCTGGTTATCTGTTCTAAGGAGGTTAAAATATAACGAAACTGTTCAGGCTCATGAAAGTAAATGGCTCAAAACTTTGATAAGTCATTTTTCATTGAGCTATATGCTGATAAGAGGGAAATTCCCACGAACCATCTTCAAAAAAGCTGCTTTATCTCATGAAAAAGCGAGTTTTTATTATTAATATAATCAATTTTTTCCAAAGAAGCATTACCCTAAGAAGGAATGAGATAAGGTCCGCGGAGAAAATTGTTCTTACCTTAAGAACAATTAAGTAAGTGGATCACGTTGCAAGCAGACATCGATCCTGCAGTATTTTTCTTACAATTTACTTCTTTTCACTTTGAAGGGTAATGTTTATTGCTAGCATCAATGTAATAATGGGAACTATTTGCAATTAGACACATTTTCATCGTTATTGCTTTCGTTTGCACAAGTCTGACGATGAACTAACCTTCTTTGAAAAATAGGAAAAAACAAAACAAAACGGAAACAGCTTTTGAGTAACTTGTTGTGATCATGCAATTACCGCGTTTTACCTAATTTACTTTTTGCGATGATGTAGCATATAACTTTTATCTTAAACGACTGAATTTTACTGCGACAATTCACTTCGCGCCTCACCATGTTGCTCGAGATATAGTTCTTTCTTGGTTTATAATAACTTGAAGGAAGATTTAGGTGCACATAATTTAAGTGGCTAAATTTAGCGTGTTAGAGTAGTGTACGGTGCTCATATTAATAAACAGTCAACTCCTTAACTCCCCCATTAATGTGTAATTTAAAGAAAGTTTAAAGCAAGCAGATGATGAGAATGACAAAGATGATCAATTTAGGGACATGGTATTGATATTAAGATGGTCACGAATAAACAACAAATAAATATAAGTTATGATCATGAGTGAAGGGAATAAACTTCCAGCTCTTTCATTAGAAGTTAAAAGCTTGAAATGACTCCTCCGTGAAATGGTATAGCGTCACATTTGGGGCGTCATGTTTTTTCCTCAGGATAAGAAACCAAGAGCAAGTATTTGAGAGCGAAGAAAAATTGTTGTTTATCACTGGCAATTGAGTGGATGGAAAACGAAAATAGATCGATCGATATACTTGAAACTAAACAAACAGCGAGAAGCACAGAGGTGGCTGTAAAATTATTGATTTGATTAGTCCGCAGATGTTTCATAATACAAGCTGAGCGGGAGTTTTACGAGCTTAAAATTAAGTGTGTTTTTCCTCCAAATCTCCTTTCGCTTAGACGCAATAACAAATAGGTTTTTGAAATAATTTAACAATTCTTTCCAATTTCTAGACAAGTTAATGGGTCAGTTATGTAAAATGTAGCCAAAAAGTTAGTCTCGTAATGAAAGTGCTTGAAAGCTCTTGTTGAGAGATAATCGATGGCTCAAATTTCGGGCTTACCATGAAGATTACGTAATAGTTTGAAGATGTCTTTCAAAATCTCGGAGATTATTTGTTACAAGGTCCATTTCTCCTGGCTTTAACCTTTTAACTCCCAGGAATGATTTAAAACTAATTTCTCTCTAAAATATCCATACATTATCCAGCGAATAGTTCATGAGAATACTTGAACTTATCAAGTAGAAGTTGTTATCTTGATCTAACGTTAAATTCTTGTAAATTATTTACAAGGAAATGTGTAGCAGGTAGAGGGGAGAATTAACAATCAGATCTTGGGAGTTAAAGGGTTAACGAAAAGCGGAGGGGGGGTTCAGTCGTCGCCAACAGAATATTAATAGGGGACTATAATAAATTGACTACCAATTAACTATCAACAAGGGAGGGAGGGGTCGTAGGAATCTTATAGAATCTTATGGAGGGGAGGGGGGGGGGCTTTGTAAACATTGTTGTCACTCGACCAAGATCCTCTAAGGTTCCCGCCCCCCCTCCCACCGCATGTGATAAATAACGACCAGCCTCTTGGGAGGATAAGTGACAGATGAACTATTTTTAATGGCTTTCTGCTCTATAAACTCCGATTATACGCATTTACTTCTAAAAGCAACGATTACTGCAAAAACTCATTCGGAAAAGCGAGGTCAGTAATAGAAAATCGATGATACCAAAAGTTCCATAACTTATTACCGGTTAAGGTAACAAAACCAAACATTTCTTATTGTTCAGAATGTTTGGTTATCATCTTGAAGGCTTTGTAATGTTTTATTCATTTCCTAAGGAGGATTTTGGTTGTGTCAAGATAAAAACAACATTATCCCCCATAAGACTGTAATATTCGTATTACCCCCTTTCTCCTTGTTAGCGTGTCAGTTTTTAATAATAATAATAATAATTTCATTTCATTTCATAATACTAATCTTTATTCATACTCTGTTGGCGACGACTGATCACCCACCTCTTGTTTACCCCCGAAAACCACGAGAAATCGACACTGTTGCAAGAGAAATCGAGGCTTTCAGAAATATTCTCCGACATTTTGTAAGGCATATTCAAATTGTCACGTAATTATTATAGATATGCCCAAAATTTAAGCCGTCCATAATCTGTTTAAATAAACTTTTGAACACTTTTATCTCGAGACGTACTAATGTTTTCAATACATTTCACTTTATTGATCCGTTAAGTTGTCTAGAAATTGTAAAGAATTGTCAAATTGATTCCAAAACCTATCAGTTATTTGCATCTAAACAAAGGAAATAATAAGAAAACAAAACTTAATTAATTTTAAGTTCTCAAAACTCCCGTTATTATCAAGAACCCCCTGCAATGTGCGGGCTAATCAATAACACTAAAGCCACCTCTGTTTTCGTTTTCATATGCAGCATTCTCCTTCGACTAAGTTTTTACCTCAAAAGTGTTTACACAAACTCGATGCTCTATGTTATTTGTTTAATTTTCAAGGATATTGATCAATCCATTTTTGTTTTCTATCCACTCATTAGCCAATAATTAAGATCGATTTTTCTTCCCTTGCAAATACTAGCTCATGTTTGTTTTTCTTCCGGAGGGCAAAACGTGGCACTCTCAATGTGACCCTACTCTGTTTATCATTTAAAGTTTGCAACTATTAACATAATGAAAGACGTGCAAGTTTATTCCCTTCACTCATGATCATACCTTACATTTATTTGTTGTTTAGTCCTGAGAATCTTACTATCAATACCATGTTCCCAAATTGATCATCTCTGTCATTTTTATTACCTGTTTGCTTGAGAATTTTTTTAAATTACTCATTAAGGGGAGTCAAGGGGTTAACTGTTTATTAAAAGGAAGAAGTTCGTTTCCCACTATTACAGTCAGAGTAACTTGGAAATTCTGGTTTTGCGGCAGAAGGATGGATGACATAAGTTTCCTGTTTTTTTATTTGAAGCTGGCATGTCAATTACTTGTCAATGTTAGTTTAAGAGAGGGGATTTGGCGAAACAGTTGGCAGTCATAGGAAAAATTTACATGAGGGAAAAAGAGGCTTTTCCGAAGCTCAAGTCCGAAACCACCGTTATTGGTTATAATTCTGATTTGAAATTAAGAGCGACGGAAACCTTGATATGAATAAGTCATGTCTCCTCTCTCACTTTTATCTGCATCCACAATTACAATTTCACCGCTCATCGATGACAAAACCAGCTTTCTTCCTAAAATTAGCCCCATCCCTTCCAAACTAGAGACTTATTGGACTTAAAATTGGAACTACGCAATTATCTGACTGCCGGGTCTTATCATTAAGTTTTTATACGATCTTGTATGTCCCTATTTACTTTGTCGTAAACAATTACTGCGCGCAGTCTTTGTAAGCCACACAGAGGGGATCAGTTACCAATATGGACGACATCTGATGACCGATTGTAGTGGATCCGAAATGGCCGATTGCTCACCCAAGACATCTTTCGTAGTATGTCTATGATAGCGTGTCGAATGTGTCTCATCTTCCAGTAGTAAATTATAGGGTTCAAAGATGAATTGAGATACATGAGAGTCAATGAGAAAAGATACAATTTTTTTAAAACGATACTCGAGCCATAGATTCGAATAACAGCCATGCAAATGAAATAGGGCAAATAACAAATTAAAAACACGAGATATACGTAGAATATGCTAACTATGGATCTAGTGAGGAGAGTAAAGTTTTTTATCTCCTCAGACTGAGCTTCGTTCCGTATTTGCATGGACTGAATCTGATTCTTGTGTCGTTGTACAGTTAAATATATCCTGATGTACACCATGAGGGTGATGATAAAACCGACAGCAGCCGTAATTGCACTTATAAGATCCTGAGCATTAAAATGCCCCCACAATTTCATCAAATTAACAAATGCACTGTACAGCCATAAGCTGATCAGCAAAACAACAACACGCATGGGAGTCACAAGCTCCTGGTATCTGAGATGAAGATGAACGGCTAAGAACCTGTCTATACTTACAGCCACAACACCAAGGAACGAGGCAGCTAAAAATATACCACTGAAGATCGTCCGCACTTGTTGAGTGTTACAGCCAGGATTGTGTAGTCGAAGCCAGTTGATGAGAAAGAAAGTGTATAGTGGTTGACTAAATAAACCAACAGCAACATCCGAGCAGGCAAGACTCAACAGCAGAGTTTTCAAAGTTTTTGGCATCGTTGAAGCTTTTTGTATGGCGTAGAATGCCACAATATTGAACATGAAGGCGGTGTAAGTAAGAAAAACGTTAAAGACACAGTTGGCGATACAAGTCGAACGAAGATCTTCAAGTTCGGTGAATATGGGCAAAAATTGCGAAAACTGGTTACAATACAATTTGCTCATGATTTTCGCTTACTTATAAAAGGTTGGAGCCGTTATTTTAGAAAAATACTGAATGGGTTGCGATATTTTAGCTGGCCAATTTCTCTCTAGACTTACTGAGGATAACAACGATATCGATAGTACCCTCCGTCATTTAACGTTCAAGTAGAGAGTCCTCAGATCTCGGCAGATGGTTACAGCCGATGTTGAGATGGGAAGTTGAAAGAAAATGAATTAATTAAGGACCTTAAGATTGAGGATGGCTTGAGTGAACGACGGCTACCGGAAGTAAATTTTTCCTTGGGAACGCGATTGCGTAAGTGCGAACAGGTGGACAACCGCGTGCTCGATCTGTGAACGACGTGAAAACAGGCTACTCGAGGTTCATTAGCAAACGACAGATTCAAATCCTAATAAACAAGGTAAATTTTTTAATTTCGTTCATTTTCTCGCCAGCATCTTCCACTTTACGCTTTTTCTCGGCCGTGGCTTCTAGTGAGGCGATAAGATGTAGAAAAAATTTCAAACGAAGGATTTTTTTCAACAGGTACTTGAAGTTAAAAACAGTGTTCAGCCAAATCTTTGTAAGTTTTTCTGTAAAATCAGAACTTGTGTATTAAATTCGACTGCAAATAGAATGGATCCTTGATTTGTAATTCTTCTCTGTAGAATGCAATGGACCGATGAGCATCATACCCTCCTTCTACGAGAGATTTTAGCCACGGAACCCTTCAAATACAAACCTAGAACTCAACAGCGCATTAATCTGTGAAATACTGTAGTTGCTCATTTAGATGATGTAACGAATCCAGCCTTCACAGTTACCCAAAGAGCGGTGAAAGATAAATTTTGTCTCTTAAAAGAGAAACATATTGCTAAAAAGAAAGAGCAGGATAAAGCTACTAGCATAGATGTAGAGGAGACGGAGATTGATGTGCTTCTTGAGGAAATCATCGAGAAAGAGAAGTATTCTCAATCAGAATATAAGGATAAAGATGAAGAGCATGAAAGAAAAGTTGAGAAAGGAAAGGCTACTGCCGCTGTTATGCGGCAAAAAGTAATGGAAAGCCTAGGAGAAACTCTAAAACGGAGCCGAACGGATTCAGAAGAAAGTGGTGAAGAAAAAAAAAGATCAAAATGTTCTGAAGCAATCGATACCTACAGGGCAAAAATGAGCAAGGTCTCGAGTTAAAACAACAAACAGCTAGAAATTGATGAGAAAAAGCAAAACCTATACGAACGTCAACACCAAGATTTCATGTTGTTAATTAAAATATGCAAAAAAACACCATGAAACTTATGGAGTCAGTAGTGCAACAAATGAAAAACAAGTAAGATGAGAACTGGCCGTCATTTATTTTTTAATTATTAGCATCCACCCGGTAGTTGTTTATTGTCTTCTATGATGAGTAAAGTAAATTGACTGTATTTACCAAAACTGACTAGTCCAGTGGATGGGTTTACGAAAATCATGTTCAGATTCTAATAGTTCATGAGACATACTGCACGCTTTTTACAACAATCAATGGCTGCCGTTTTTTATGACATAAAATTGTTGTATTCTTTTAGCAGATGTTGTTTGTTAAATAAACTATGAATCATGCATCCAGTCTCAATGACTTAACAGTGCCAAACAAAAAAAGAACAATGTATGTCACAATACTAGAGTAAATTCAGTATGACTGCATGAAACTGGAATGAATTTAAATAGTACAAAATTAGTACAGCATCTTTTATCCCCACTAGTTGATCAATATTGGTTTGAACTATTGAGTTGGTATTGTTCTATACCAATGTCGAATGCACTCTAATTTTCTTCGCCATTATCAGTGCTACTTATCATAAATTACTCACTAGATTTGCAGAGGTTTGTTGTTTTTACCCTAAATAATAAACAAACACCTTCAAACTTTACTCTTGTTTCAATACATAGTGTTGTTTTATTTCCTTTAAACTTGCTACACCTTTACTATACCTTTTTGCATGACCAGACCAAGAACTTAAGAATTGACCCAACTGAAAATATTCTTGCGGAGAAGAAGGAATGGGGTCAAAAAACTGGCTACTAGTATTACCAGTGTAGGTGAACCATTAAAGGGTAGGCAGAATCTCCATGCAAACAGAGAGGGTCCGCTCTAATAGAAAAAGCATATTGGCTAAGATCTCTGAGCAGTCCTGAGTCTGCAAGCATGCCGGCATTATACTTTCTCCCCTCTGTGGAAAAAATGTCAGTAAATAGTGACATTACTGGTCAGTCTATTTCAGCTCTGCATCAATATTCTTAGCCATAGCTTGTTTTTAATGAATTTTAATGCTTTAAGAAGAAAGAAAGAGAAACATTCAATGAAAGTCCAAGCTAAAAGGTTCATGTGGTTCTCATAAATATAATTCACAACAGTGCTACTTATCATAGACAACTCGGGCACTGGTAGATCAAATCTTTGTAATAAATCACTGTATTGACATGGATATACCAATTCTCTGAGTAAAATACAAATTAAGCTTTCCAGTCCACCAAAAATAGTTCCTTGAGAATTAACCAAATCTGCTGGTATTTGCAGAACATCGACAAGCAAAAGGATGTCGTTTTTACAGAATCTGAATTGTGCTTTACACTGGTCAGGTTCCATATGGTCGAAGGAAAATAGCTGATAGTCTTCATGCGGAAGATGTAAGTACTTTGAAGAGAGTGCATCATACAGTAAAATGAACTCTTCATCATGACCTCTGATGAATGATAAAGTGTGAAAAGATCACGCATTTCCCTAAAATTAGCCATGATGGTTAGACGTCCTCCAAATTCTAAACGTATCGGATCGAGTGGATCTTAACGCCAAATTTCCCGCGTAAACGACGCTTTACTCTAGCCAGGCTCTCCTCCGTTATGACGTTCTCAATAGAAGCCCCCGTCCTCAATCTTAAAGTCCGTATTATCGGTTTTCCTTGATTACCTGCAGTCGCTTAACACGCGTAACTTAAAATATAAGTGGCTTAGTTACGGACCGATAATTTTTTATCGAAGGGGGGGGGGGGGGAATTGCTTAGGGTTGGATGATTTTGGTTGTCAGGATGAAATGATTATTTACCTGATTCCCCCATAAGCTTCCGTAATACTCCTATGATCCTTCCTCATTGGCAGTTCAATGGCAGCCAATTCTCTATAGTCCTGTAAAGGGTAGTCAGCTAGAGGTCTGCAAGTAGTGCCAGACCCCCAGTATACCTTTCCCCGATCTCACGAGCAGAGGACTGATTGTAGGTAGTCTCGTGCCCACCCCTTTCACGACCAAGCGGTTGTAACTTACATTTCCGTTACAGTAAAAAAATTTGGGTACGAGATTATGTTAGCCCGCAAATGAACAAAGGGGGTGTGTTTTCGAAGAAACTGTGATGCTACTTCGGTGGGAGTATTACGAGACAATTTGATTTTATCTGAGTTGATAATGTAAATTGGACACTGAAGAGAGTTTCTGAAACTGACGTTTGGAGCGTTTGAGTGAATGGCGCAAAAAGCATCACTCAGGCTATTCCATGCTTTTGACAGTCCGCCTATTCTTGTTTCTCCTTCGCTAATTATCATGTTAACCACTGTTCCGATTGCCCATGTGGATTAGACTGGTCATGTTCTTTCTACACGCATGTGCAGCCTGCTTTATTCTTAAATTTACGCTTGAATATTCTAAACATGTTTCTCTGAGGTTTACATGCTATATATTTGCACTTCAAAGGCGAACACCACACTAACCTCGCCTTAGTCCCCCATAGTGTTAGAAGTAAATTTTCTAACACTCGTCGTTTGATAGGTTAATTCTTCTTTATTCTCTTTCTTCACAAATTGATACAACGGGGACTAGCTTCTATCCAACAGGGAAAACTAGAGTCTCCGCTTATGAAGGTGACACTGCGGATGACATTTCTAAGCCGTCAATCTTCTTGTGTCGTCATCGTACCATCTCAACTAGCGAATCACGCTTGACTACGTATTGCAGTTCCCACATACTGAGTATGCACCTTCGAGTTGTTTACGCAGTTACAAAATCAATTTATACCTTAATTTTCATATCTTTACGGTTGAGATCTGCCAGAACAGAAACGAGATCGATAATATAAAAATTACAAATAACCTTGGTTCAGAGTATTATTTATAACTGAAAAGGTATCTTAAGAAAAAACCAACTTTAAAGATTGTTACATAACAACATCTTGGTCACAAGAGTTAAAGAAGAAAAGCGCTCACAAGTACCGCCCCCAAATTGCTTTTGGTTGCGAAACATGAGGGGTATCACCTGTTTACACCTTAAATTACCTCTGGGGACAAGAAGGTGTCGAACGCGATCTATTACCAGGGAGATTTACTCATCCTGGACTAACAAATTAACTTAATTAGGAACATGGCTCATCACGAGTTCCATATCAACCTCACGATCACAACGAGGAAAACGTGATTAAACTCACAAGGAGAACGTGACCAAACTCACAAGAAGAACGTGACTAAACTCAACCATTAAGATAAGACCACTAAGAACGAGTAGGAAGTAATCAACCTGCCCTTTTTATAATTTGCATTAAATGACTTAAAATAATATAATATTTCCATTCCTTTTTCCGACACCAATACAAGGAAACCCTTACGATATTGTAGATTTACTATAATTGTAATTTTATTATTTAACAAATTCTCCCTATTTAGACGGAGCTGTCCCCAGTTCCCAAAAGATTTATGAATATGCAGTTAGATAAGTGGATATATTCGTAAGTGGATAAATTCTTAAGGTTGCTAACATAAAACACCAAAATGCCGTTGTGACTAAATATGGGGAGTAAATAAGCCTTTTTTTCGTTTTTGTTTTTTTGTTTGGAATACCTGTAGAATATACTTAGCTAAATGAATGTAAATACGGCTGAAATAAGTAAGGCTAACGATGGCCGAGGCGAAAAGCTTGCCACCCAGCAGGCGGTGGAGGTGGAGGTAGAACATAATCTGGAAAGAGATCATCTTCCTCTGCCCCATACCCGTCCACGGTAAGACCTTGTAATTCCAACCACCAAAACTGATCTGGCGGTGGAGGTGGCGGGGGTGGAAATTGAACTTAATAAAAACAAAACGGATACGGGCCTGAGGGAATAATAGCATCCGTGTGATGGTAGGGAGAAAGCTGCTGGCGACAGTGGGGACACTTATCGCGAACAGCTCCCTCACGGGTAGCGTAGAACTTTTATCTTAAATGACTGAATTTTACTACGACAGTTCTCTTATCGCGTGTCCATGCTGATCGAGATAGTACTTTCTTGGTTTATGGTAATTTGCAGGAAGATTTAAGTGCACGTAATTTAAGTGGCTAAAAATAGCATGTTGGAGTAGTAGACGGTGCTCATATCAATTAACAGTCAACTCCTTAACTCCCCCATTAATGTGTAATTTAAAGAAAGTTTAAAGCAAGCAGGTAATGAGAATGACTAAGATGATCAATTTAGGGACACGGTATTGATAGTATGATGCAATTATCAAAACTCTTAATGTGACCCTTCCGTTTTTCCTTAAAGCCAAGCGAAAACGAGGCTGTTACAAATATTCTCCGAGATGTTGAAAGACATTTTCAAATTGCCATGCAATCATCATAGATTTGCCCAAAATTGAAGCCGTCGATTATCTGAACAAATAAACTTTTGAACGCTTTTATTACGAGAGTATCGTTTTCACTACATTTCACTTTTATTGACCCATTAATTTGTTTTGAAATTGTAAAGAATTGTCAAGTTGGTTGCAAAACCTATCTGTTATTTGCATTTAAGCGAAAGGAGATAACAAGAAAAAACATACTTAATTTTAAGTTTTCCGGCAAAACTCACGGTATTATCAAGAACCACCTGCAAACATCTGCGGGCTAATCAATAACTCTATAGCCACCTCCGTTTTCGTTTTCATATGCAGCATTCTGCTTCGACTAAGATTTTACCTCAAAAGTGTTAAGGCAAACTCGATGCTTTTCGTTGTTTGTTTAACTTTCAAGTATATCGATCAATCCATTTTCGTCTTAAATCCCCTCATTAACTAATGATTAACATCGATTTTTTTCTTCTCTCGTAAATACTAGCTCCTTTGCAACCATAATTACAATATCACCATCTATCGATGACAAAACCAGCTTTCTTGCCAAAATTAGTTCCTGCCCTTCCACACCAGAGATTATTCGATTTATTGTGTACTTAAAATTGGAACTACGCAATTATTTGGCTACCGGGTCTTATAACTTAGTTTATGTACAATCTTGCTTGTCCCCATTTCACTTTGTCATAAACAATTACCGTGCATAGTCTTTTTAAGCCACACAGAGTGGATCAGTTATCAATATGAACGACATTCGATGACCGATTGTAGTTGATCCGAAATGGCCGATTGCTGATCCAAGACATCTTTCCCAGTATGTCTATGATAGTGTGTCGAATGTGTTTCATCTTCCAGCAGTAAATTACAGGGTTCAAAGATGAATTTAGGAACACGAGAGTCAGTGAGTAAAGATAAAGTTTCTTTAAAACGATACTCGAACCATAGATTTGAATAACAGCCTTGCAAATGAAGTAGGGCAAATAACAAATTAAAAACACGAGATATACGTAGAATATGCCAGCTGTGGATCTAATGAGGATATTAAAGTTTTTTATCTCCTCAGACTGAGCTTCGTTTCGTATTTGCATGGACTGAATCTGATTCTTGTGCCGTCGTACTGTTTGATATATCCTGATGTACACCACGAGTGTAATAATAAAACCGAAAGCAGCACTTATCGTACGTATAAGATCCCGAGTACTATGAAGCTCCCACAATATTATTAAAGAAAGAAATGCACTATACACCCATATGCCAATTACAACAATAACAACACGCCTGTGAGTCACAAGCTCCTGGTATCTGAGATGAAGATGAACAGCTAAGAACCTGTCTACACTTACAGCCACAACACCAAGGAACGAAGCACCTGAAAATAAAGTATTTGAAATCGTCCGCACTTGTTTAGCGTTACAGCTAGGATTGTCTAGTCGAAGCCAGTTGATCAGAAAGAAAGTGTATAATGGTTGACTAAACAAACCAACAGCAGCATCCGAGAAGGCGAGACTTAGCAGCAGAGTTTTCAAAGTGTTTGGCATTGTTGAAGTTTTGTATATGGCGTAGATTGTCACAATATTCAACATGAAGGCGGTGTAAGTAAGAAAAATGTTAAAGACACAGTTGGCGATACAAGTCGAACGAAGATCTTCAAGTTCAGTGAATATGGGAAAAAATTGCGAAGACTGGTTACAATACAACTTGTTCATGATTTTCGCTAGGAGCCACTATTTCAGACAAATAGTGAATGGTTTGCGATATTTCAACAGGCCAACTTCTCACAAGCCTTACTGAGGATAACAACGATAGTACCCTCCGTCATTCAATGTTGAAGTAAACAGTCCTTGGATCGCGGCAGATGGTTGCGGCAGGTGCTGAGATGGGAAATTAAAAGACAATAATTATGAGTCTTACTTGATTACATCCATTCGCTTAACGCGCGTAACTGTACGTTTGTGGAGCTCGTTTAATTTCTCGTTCATGTTCTATAATTTTAAAACAAACTTTGAAAAAATAAGTAGCTTGGTCACGGACCGATCAGTGTGTATCGCAGAACAGGGGGGTTTGGGGGTCGGAGGATTTTGGTTGTCACGATAAAATTTATTTACCTGATTATCCCATAAGTCTTTGTAATATTCATATGATCCTTAGCTGCCTCGTGGCAATGGCAATTGCAATGGCAGCCAATTCTCTATAGTCCTGCAAAGGGCAGTCAGCTAGAGGTCGGCAAGTGGTGCCAGATAACCCGGCAGACCTCTCCCCGATTCGTTTCAGGCCTTCTCATGGGTAGAGAAGGTTTGCTCGTAGATAGTCTCGTGCCCACCCCTTTCACGGCCAAGCGGTTGTAACTTACATTTCCGTCACAATTAAACGGTAGGATCTGAGTACGAGATAATATTAGCTCGCAGGCTACTGAATTTAGAGTCTGAGTTAATAATGTATTTTAAAACTGACGTTTCGAGCGTTAGCTTTTCGTCAGAGTGAATGGTGCAAAAAAGCATCACTCGGGTTATTCCGAGCCTTTTACAGTTTCGGGTTCTCATTCGCTAATTGTGATGTTAACCAATGTTCCGATCGCCCGTGTGGATTTAATTGGCTCTGTTCTTTCGACACGCATGTGGAACCTGCTTTATTCTAAAATGCGTTTGAATATTCTAAACATGGTTCCCTTAGGTTTTCATGCTACACACCACACTCACCTCGCCCTAGTCCCCTCACAGATGCAAATGAGGCGCGGTAAACTAAACATGGACTACAAACAAATGTACAAACAAAAGAAGCGATTTAATTCTCTCTGCATTATTTGTACAACATTAAGTATTGCTACAAGTACAAAAAAATAGGCAACAATAGGTAAACAGATACAAAAGAAACAAAATTAAACAGCTATCACTTGTGGAAGTAATGGGACGTTACACAGTACATTATTTCAAACGAGAAATAATTTCAAACTAGAAAATGAATAATGTACACAAAAGTAAAACATAATTAAGAGCTTGCAGTCCTGCTGGAAGCTAAAATAAAAATTTCAGTCTTTTCTTTTACACGCTTGCTAACTCTACAGTTTCTCTGTCATGTCAGTTCTTCATTCTTCAGCCCCCAAAGCCGTACAGCGTGCGTCCTTGTCGTTTCAGCGCGTATACAACGTCCATGGCGGTCACCGTCTTGCGCTTGGCGTGTTCAGTGTATGTCACCGCGTCGCGTATAACGTTTTCGAGGAAAACTTTGAGAACTCCGCGAGTTTCTTCATAAATGAGACCTGAAATGCGCTTCACACCACCTCTCCTGGCCAAACGTCTTATGGCCGGCTTAGTTATGCCCTGAATGTTGTCTCGTAGGATTTTTCTGTGACGTTTCGCACCTCCCTTACCCAAACCTTTTCCTCCTTTACCGCGACCGGACATCTTATTCAAATAACTCGATTTTTCGTGAAGGACGTGCTCTGAATTTCCAGAAGAACGTATGTTCAAGATTTAGCGGAACTTAGAATAATTTTCCTGTGTTTTATACCCCTGTTGCATTGTCTTTCAAATTGGACTCTAACTGATTGGTTCAATTCTGTAGAACAAGTCTTATAACCAATCAACGCACTCCCTGCATTGGTTCTGTCACTAATGCGATATTTTTTCGTGCTTCTCTTTTCAAAATGATGTCTGCCTCCACGAACTTCAACGTAATTATTGTATTTTTATTTTTTTTTATTTTCAAGTGCTAAAAATTCCATCGGGTGCCTTTAATTAATCAAGAGGTGTTGCCTGCTTAGTTATGGAAGTTATTTTGTCAAAGTATTGTTCGAACGAATTCCTCTCGCCAGGCTACTAACTATAAGAATTCATAAATTTCAAAAGCTAGTAAAAATGAAAAATAAATTTAACCAAAATGGTGAATACTCAAAGGCACTTTAAAAGAAAAAAAATCGCAGGGAGAGCTGACCGTGGACATAAAATGTTTGTATTTAATTTGGTGTCTGAGCCAAAGCAATCAATTCCTTTCTCGCCATGTTTTTTGATACTATACAATCAACTTGTGCTCCTGAGACAAGTCTGTCTCTAAAAATACACATCAATACAATTCGAAGCACGTTTGAAAAAAGTTCTTGTAATTTATTTACAGAAATCATTCAATAACCCTGTTATTGTTGAAATGTCGAAGTTTGTATGTCTGATATTTTGAAATGCTCTTCCTTAGGAAATTGAAACCGAAGTTGAATTCTCAAAAGCACTCCTGTTCTTGCTAAACTTTTTACGCGGCGTCGAAAAAACCAGGATCGAACCAGATCAGATCACAGACCGGATCACGGATCGGATCACGTGCAAAATATCCGCTTTTCGATCCATGATCCTATCCGTGATCCGGTTCATGATCTGGTCCACGATCCAGTCCGTGACCCTGTCTGTGATCCGGTCTATGATCTAGTCCGTGAACCTGTCCGTGATCCGATCCGGCCCGGTGCAGATTTTGTCGACGCCGTCTTTCGCGTGACGCCACGTGCAAATACCTATACTTAGTCACTATACTGGGATATTTTGTTCTTCTTCTTGAAATGAATATTTTATCTTTGCTTTATTGTACTTTTGCATTCATGCCTCGAAGAAATTCTTCCTGAATGCACATCTTGTGTTTTATCTTAACTCGACAATGACGTTAGCAAACGACGTCGAAACGTCGTCGTTTTCTAGACTAAACCTATATGTTTTCAAGGCTTTCGCTTTTCTGTTATGTTTTACCGCCAAAAACCCTTTGACTTTCTTTCTTTACCTAAAAAAATTGCGGTTTCGTTTTGTACCATTCCATTCGGTGTTGCATTGTGGGCCATTTAATTAGGTTCTCCACCCTCACCAGACCCCCAGCCACACCTTTACGCGGTTTTTGAGCCTTCGAGCAAGGACTTCAGCGTCTTAAAGGAAAAATATGCGTAATACTCACTACGCATGGCTCGCTTGCGCAATCGATAAACTTATTGCGCAAGCTTCGAACTTTTTTTGAGGGAATTAGGTAATCAAAGTTAAATAACTCCAGCCGTTTGGAGCAACAGATCGTGTAGAGGTTGTCGAGGAAAAATGGAGCCATCAACGGAGAATATAGACACGAAAACTTCAAAAGCAGAGAAACGTCCTGGGGAGAAATCTGTGGACGACGATTACGTGAAAAAGCGAGAAAGAAATAATATTGCTGTGAGGAAAAGTCGCATGAAAGCTAAAGAACGAATCGAGGAAACCAGACGGAGGGTTACAGATTTAACGAAAGAAAACGAAGATTTACGTAGTAAGGTTTCTTTACTACAGAAAGAATTGAACGTTTTAAGGTCGCTCTTCGCAAACGGAGGAATTTCAGTGCCTTCAGAAATAAATGTACAGTTTACGAACTCAAACAGCGATGGTAACCAAGCGCTACTTTTAACAGCTGTCACATCTTTGTCGAGCGGATCTATGCAAGATAATCAATTTTCCGGAGGAGAAATTCTGGAAAATGGAATAACCACGCATGGGATCAAGAAGGAGTCATAGCATTTTGCTGAAGAAATACAGAACTAGTGTTTATAGGAGTTATTAGTCTTAAAAATTCATACTCGGAACCACAGAATCCACATGAACGGTTCAACAACCTGTTTGTAAACTTAGAATGTTACAAAGACATACCTTGTGTGTTTTAGGGGAATTCCTAACTTGTGGTGCGTTTTGCATGTATAGCTAGAAAAAGTTAGGACAATTTTTTGTGTATCTCAATCGTGGATCCAGGAACTTCCATCTTTGAGGTTTATTGTAGCAGTAAATTGTAAATCTGTTAAGTACTCATCTGTTTGATCAAGAAATAGCTTATTGACAGGTCCATATATGCTGATCCGAATTTTACTCGTTCCCTCTTTCATCATATATGGTAGCATTAGGCCTGATTTTGTAGGATTTCATTCAGTAATATCTTTTTTTACATTGAAAACATCTATGTTGACTTTTGTCACGCGTATGTTGTGAAAATTATTATAAAACTGCCTAACCCTAATTTATGCACTCATAAAAAAAGTGAAATATACTCTGCTGATTGATAACATGAAAATTACCTTTATCCCCAAATATTATAGTTATGGACCTTTTAGTATTTAAATTATGCCTCAAATTATTTTATAGAAGTTGTATGTTTTGAGACTAAGCAGGTCAAATATACACTACATCCTCTCCATTTGATATGGGATCATGCAGTTGTTACAAAATTCTATGGACTGCTGTCACTGTATTTTCCAAGACCATTGATAATATTGAGTGAAGATACAATTTAGTAAACCTATGTTTGCATTTTACTCACAAGTTTTGAATTTGTGTTTGTCTGATCTGTCAAAGTTGCGCAATTTGCTCTCCTCTTTTTTGACATGAAGAACACTTGTGTTTCAGAGATCAGTTACCACTAAGGTTATTTTAACCATTACTTACATAACCCTTGACATCAATTCCAATATTAAGAAAAGTATTTATTATGGATGATAGTTTTTATTCTGACCATTGATGAAGGATTCATGCGGAATAATGAATTAATTTTGTATTTGCATGGGTTTATTTACTTTGAATGTTTGACCCATCTAGCAGATGCAGATTTCTTACATTCATTGAGTTTTTTATTTCATAAAACGAACAGCAGTGAAAATTTAAACCTTTGACATCTACAGGTGAGAAGAATTTTGTTGCCACATTCAATATCACCCCCAAGGTGTGCATTTGGTCAGGAGATTAAAGGCAATGATCACCATCTTCAAAAAGCTCTTGATTATTAAAGGAATTCTCTTTGTCAACAGGTTGTAGAATGTATGGAAGATAGAATGAAGAATACAGGGTATGGTCATGCCTCGGGATGCAAGAGCTACCTGCTTATGACTTGGAGGAAATGTTTTAGTGATATGTGCAGCTTTTAGAAAAAAGCATCCTTTCAAATGATTGATTTGTATTTTAAAAAAGTTTCAGTCCACTCAAAATCAAATTTATTGGCTTAGTGGTAGTTAACCCTTTAACTCCCAAGATCTGTTTGTTAATTCTCCCCTCTAGCTGCTACAAATATCCTTGAAATCAGTTATGAGAATACTGCTACCTGATAAGTTTGCATATTCTCATTCCCTGTTTGCTGAGTAATTTAAGGATATTATAGGGAGAAGTTTCATGTTGATCACTTCTGGGACTTAAAAGGTTAAATGAGAGTATCACCCATTAATATAATTACTTCTAGCCTTGCTGTGATGTAAGCACAAAAGATGTGCATCTGTGAAAACACAGAATGAAGTAAACTGAACTGTATAATTATTCTGATAATCATAATACATAAGATATTTTTGCTTGCATGCAATTCAATTTAAATGTGTCAAATGATCAACTATGCCCCAAGGAAATATGAAGTGGTTATTCCCCAATCTTTCTAATCTTACTTTCAATATGGTTAACCTTCTATGTATGGTTAAAAATCAATTCAAGATGAGAGTGGTTTGCTGTTTTTACAGACTGGACATATTTGTTTTACAGTAAATGTCTGCATTAAAATATGTAAGCATATTTAATTGTCAAATGAAGGCTGATGTTTTCGTATCTTAGATAGATCTTAAAGGGCTCTAGTAGGAAGATTGGCTGATAAAATCATATTCTTCTTTGTTCAAAAGACAGATTCATCTCTAGTTGTCACTTTATTGTACAGGATCACAGGGCCACCGAGATTCACACAAAAAAGAGTAATTTGAAGGATGAACAGAGAGAGAACAGCGTTGCTTTTTTAAACATGTCACTTGTGTCATTTTTAAAGAAGTTTTTAACATGTCACTTCTCTTAGCAATCATATTCTGTATTGTCTTACTAACAGATTTGGAGAGGGGACAATTTTATCACTTAAGGTGTCACTTTGATGAAAGACCAAATTATCCTGTATAAATTACATGGAAATGTATAGTAATCAGACAGAATTGTGAATTAGATCTTAGGAGCTAATGAGTGTCAGCATGTGAATGCCTTAACTTGATGTAATCTGCAAGACTTGTCCTTTATTTTTTGAGAACAACTGAGGTCAGACTGGTTTATTTTCATTTGATTTGAAAAATAATCAGACCATGAATATAGAATCATTCTGAAGGTTTTTCGGTGATCAGCAAAATGAAGTACATTTAAACCATCTCTGTGTTCATGATGAAGATAAAAAATAATATGCAAGTCCTTTTGTCAATGGCTTGTAGAAGCAGTGGCATGTTTTCAATGGCTTTCATCCTTTAACTCCCAGGTGATTAAAATGTGACTTCTCCCCATAAGATCCCTATGTTATCTACCAAACTTGTAATGAAAATACTCAAACTTAGACAAGTAGAATTTGTTTTCTTGATCTATCACCAAATTCTCAAAACTAATTTACAAGGGAATGAGGAGAAGCTAGAGGGGATAATTAAAAATAAGATCTTGGGAATTAAGGGGTAATGGTGAGTGTATACAAGTGTAGGTTGAGCAGAAAGGGTTAGACTCTCATGAGGGGAGGAAGGCACAAAATCCACATAAAGAAATATTATGTCTCCCTTGCTAGGAAAAAAATGAAGTCTGTTCTTTGAGTTATTTTGAATTAGGGTTCACATCCTTTTTCAGAATAAAATTTTGAGGACTTTTCCAGGACTCATATGGATTTTTCTTGGACTAAAAATTTCACCTTAAACCTTTTCATCCCCAAGATTTCAAAATCATTTCTCCTTATGGTCTACAGTACATTTCCTATCATTTAAAATTCTGAAAACTTTATTGCTTGAGTGGAGCAGATTTTGGGAACTTTCCAGGATCTGTAGTTTTTATCCACAACTTTCCAGTCCTGGAAAAAGTCAAAATAAGGACTTTCCAGGTTTTCCACCACCCTTAAAAACTATGTTGAATCCCCAACAAAGATAATTCAGCCAATTTTTAAGGGGTTGGGGGTGACTTACACCTGCAGACCAGACATACAAAAAACTGCAACTATTACTGAATATTAACAATTAAAATTATTTATTTGGTACTGGTCAATAGTCAGTTACTTCCTAAGTACAACTAACTACAAACTTTGCTTTTCTCATAACAAAAGAGTAAATTTAATAACCCGTACTTAGACCAACCACAAATGAGTTGGGATTTTCAAATAACTAATCATTTGTGAAAAAATCTGTTAATGTTCTAAGAAAATATTCACTCTTTAGCATGCATAATAATGAAACTGTGCATGTTTCAAATCAACCAGTGACCTTATTTATCAAATGCACAGACCAAACCTTAAATGTATATGTTATGACATCTCAGCCTGATCTCAAACTTAAATAAACTTCCAGAAACAAGTGGTGAATGTCAAAGTCATTAAATCTTAAAATAAACCTTTTTTGCATCTAAAGAAATGCTTAAATTCCTTGGAAATCACAACAGCTACAAAGATGGACTAAAATTCTTAAGACAAAGAAATGAGTTTTTATGTTTAATCACTATCTTTAACATTAAATTAAACCAACAATTAAACAGCAGCAAAATAAACACATGTGAATTCAGTCAAATAAATCTGACATTTTGGGATTCACCAACTCACTTCAATTATGAAATTACATTGCCTGAAAGACAGGTAAAATAAAACTGCCAACAGCTTATTTAGGTTTGTTAATGATAGCATTTTGAACTCCTTGCATTTATCATCATTTTTACCATATTACAAAAGCTACCTTTCCAAAATCTGTCACCCTGCCATAAGTAGTAGGTAATTTTTAAAATTGTGGCAAATTACACAACTGATAGACCTGGACCTACGGTCGTGATATTTTCATGTCACATGGACAATCACATGAACTTTCATGAATAGCAGATCACGTCTAGTGGCCAAATTGTAACAGCACTATTCTTAGAAATAAATGTTTGAATCATTGCTAGATCAGCTCTTGCAATGTGCACAGGGATCTTACAAGATAACAATTGAAAATGCTCTTTACTGATATCACCCTGCAAGAATTCGTGCAACTGAAGCATATCACTGTCACTATACAACATAACCATATTTACACTGATTTTGTCTCCTATGAGATATAAATATTACTTTTCTGTTAGTTACATTTTATAAAATACTCAATTTCTATAAATTCATCTCAAGCACTCCTCCATCATGAGGTCGTCATCACTCATTTCCTGGTCTTCTTTGCAGTTAGGGAGAGATCCCCAGAGCATGATCTGAACTCCTACAAGAAAGAAATAAACTTCAATCATGACTTCAACCAACAATGTCTAATTGTATGATGAAAGATACAGTGACCTTGCAGTCAGCATGCTGAATTTAGGATCAGGGTTTCAGTCCTAGATGGGTTATTGTGTTCTGTTCTTAGGCAAAACACTCCATGGGGTTCATATGCATCTAACCCTTTCACTGCCAAAAGTGATTAACATGTAACTTCTCCTTATTTGAGAATACTCAAACTTATCGAGTTGAAACTGTTATCCCACGACTTAATTGATGTCTTGTAGACCTTCAATTGTGAAGAATAGTTTCGAGGCATGTAAACCAAAATGATAACATGCTACAAAATCTTAGTTTTATTCATCAGAGAAATTCTATCAATTTCTGCCCATTAGATCACGACCTTTCACACTTACAAAATTCCTTAACTGTCCACAACATTACCGAGACCTTAAGTGACGCATTGCATGAACAAACAACATGACGCAGCCTTCAAAGTGTTGTGAAAAAGTTACTTTTCCGAAAATATTCATATATTTTATATTTCAGAGAAACTTTATCTAGTTTAGTTAGAAACTTTGAGTTTCAATTGTCTGCAGATGACAATGGATGACCACGGGAGGTTACAGTCACGGATTAACATTGTTTTTGCTAATATTTATTTTTGTTCCTCGAAAGTGAAAATTGTTTGGAAAGCCTCAATACAAATTATTCGAACAAACGAAAGGCCATATTCGAAAAAAGAATTGACGTCAAAGGAAAGAGCTTCAATCAAGCCACATCATTTAATGGATTTTGCTTACATTTCAAATTAAAGCAAACAGATTTTAATCCATAACAAAACCAGTTGGAACACCTTTTGCTAGACATCAGCTGTTTGAGATGGGTGTTCCACATGTTTGAGTAACATAACTTTTAAATAACATCCTTATGCCGAGAAAAGTTAACGGAAGCTTTCCGTATCGATGCTTTCGTTTCCATACCTGTTTGATCGAGTCTTTCCAGGGGATGAACCGCATTGGAGTGAAACATCCAAAAATGGCCGTTATTGCAGGATCGAATGCAAGACTGGCATGGAAGTGTTACATGATATCCAACGACATTTCCACTGGTACAAACAAAAATACTCTATTTAGAGAACATAACTAAAAGGGATGTGCTCAATAAATGTAAAGCCAATTCAGCGTGAAAACCAGTCAACACTTACCACCCGAGACAGGCAACATCTTTGATCCGACATTCACAGTTTTGTGTGGAGTAATCTGTTCCTATTAACTGAATGGAGCTGGAAAAAAGTGAAAAAGCGTTAAGTAATGCAACAAAGCTACAAAGGATAGGAGAGACGTAATTTTCCGCGTCAAAATACACTTTGCTCACTTTTCAGGAGGTAAGTCCGTCGAGTACAACTCTACTTTCGTGTCGGCCAGCAGAAGTGCTCTCATTCCGCGGGCACAAATGCTTCTCTCGCAATATTTACACTCCAATTTTACCACTGTTTTACTCTGAAATGCGGGATGAATCCTTCTCGACATTTTACAACTAAAGCGTCTCTTTTCCGTTTCGTTTTGAGCGAAAGCGTTCGTTGAGCGATGTCGCGTCAAAATGGCCGTTCTTTAAAAAACAGCCTTAATACTTCCAGTTGTTGGCTAGTACTTTGCTCTGATTGGCTGTTGCCAGGTGACGTTCACGCCTTAATTGGCCTTTAAATTTTTAAATCACAAGACTCTGAAACTAAATTAACAAAATTCTCTCAAGTTACGAACGGGAATGATATTCTTTTAACTTATGAAATCTGTGAATTGATCTGTCTGATCTGTGCAAATGTCACGTCCAAAGACAATTCTCCATCATGACATGCAAGGAAAAAAAGATAGCTCACACAGCTGTTGTTTCACTGCCATCAGCACTAAGTTAAATTTTTCCAGAATAAAATTTTGCGATTCAATTTGAATTATACAATTTTACTAGGCCCAAAAGACGAAAAAGACAAAAAAATTGCTCTGAAACAGCCCCGAAATTTTAAATTACCTTTGCTGACTGTTTTCAGTTTGTTTTGACTTGAATAAAATTAATTGACCGCATTTCCGCAGCATGGGTTTTCATTCGCCCCAATCCTCACTTGGTTAAAATTCAACATGGCGTCCTGACCGATTGTGTGGTGGAGTTGCCCAATCTTATTTGTTTCACGATAATCAAGGCCTTTCTCTCTTCCGTAACTTCACTTATTCGTTATCACCTTAATTCTGTTTAATGAGCGATGGCGACAATGGATGGGTATAAAAGCCGACAGTTTTTTACTCTTTTATTGAACTGGCTGAGTTACGCGTCAACCTACTTGCTTCGCAAACCATTAGGAGTGGTAAGAATCGCATCAACCTCTATGAACTTCCAGTCTTACAAACTATAAATTAATATAAAACATGTTAAATTGTTTTCCTCAGAAGACGTCTAATATCCAGATATTCGAGGTCATAGAAAGTTAAAAATAGCAAATTAAATATTGGTCGTGGGCTTAAAATTCAGCAGAGCATTTCGCTTTTGAATCTGTTTTGCATTTATTTAACGAGGTTGTAAGTAAGTAACGCCTTAATTTATCAGAGGAGTTTGGAGGAGATGAAATGGAAACATCATGAATTTAATCAAATCGTTAATTTCCAACTTAGAAAGGTAGCCATGACAACTAGTTTTTTTCCAAAATATCTTAGACCTTGTTACTTCAAAAGTAAAATAAAAAACAAAAAGAAAAATAGAAAAAAAAAAGATTCTTGGGGCTCGTTATTTAAATAAATTTTAGCTGCAGCTTAACTAAAATGCATTCTAAACTATATTTAATTTAGACAAACCTTTTATCTGAACAGTTTTTTTTTGTGATTAGTGTTAAGAGGGCTGAAAGCTAAGAGTGAAAGGAAATTTGGTTAACTCTTTGTTAAACTCCCAGAAGTGATCAACATGAAACTTCTCCCCATAATATCCTTACATTATCCAGCAAACAGGTAATGAGAATATTTAAACTTATCAGGTAGAAGTTGTTAACTTGATCTAACACAAAATTCTCAGAACTAAATTTACAAGGAAATGGGAAGCTGGTAATGGGGAGAATTAACAATCAGATCATGGGAGTTAAAAAGTTAAAGAAATTTAATTAGATAATACTTAAAACTTGCTGCTTGCATAAAAACTGCAGTTTGGGTTGGACCTCCTCTAAATAACTAGCACTTCATGATTTATGAGGAACTTTCAAAGTTGAGCCCTGAGCCATGTTGATTTGGCAGATCTTACAACTTAATTCTATAATTAAAAGTTTGGACAAGATTTCTTGACAACACCACACTTCAATATGTATACAGTTCTTCAATAAAGAAAACAGGGGCAGAAACATTAGATTGCCTTGGGAACTATGGCTTTTTTTAGGGATAGTATGGTGTTTTAGGATACATCACACAAGTGACTAATGCTTTTTGTACTTGTTGATTGGCTAGTTCTGAAGCAAACATCAAGCAGTATTCAGTCCTCTAAGCAGATGATGAGACAAAATCATGTGTCAAGAGTTGAATCTCTGACCTTTTTTTGGTATTTTGAAAGAAATATACTTATTTTTTGGTATCTGTTTGGTACATATTAAGACAATTATTCACCTCAGAAATGGTGAAAAGTGTTGGTTAAATATCTCACTGCTTTGCCGTGTGATAAATACCCACCACTAATCACCTCCACTTGGGTGAATAATTTTTAAATATGGAGATCTTTTCAAAGTTCAAACTGTTACCTCTCCTGCGTTGCTTGCCCCATTAACTGCTATTTTTTTCAGTGAATTTTACTGAATGTAATTACTCAATAACTAAAAGTTTGTTTTGTGTTTCCTGTGCATCAATCATGTCTAGGTCAAAGCAGATATGGCTAAAGTATACAATTTATCAAGAACACAGCTTGGTTTTTTGGACACAGCTTTCTTATTGCCATATGCTGTTATGCAGGTATTCAATTCAACTGCTGTTAATTAACCTTAGATTAAGTTGGTATATTCTCCACACTGTTCTATATACATGTCCTAAGGTGCTGATGTGGAGAACTTGTCTAAGAATCAAGGGCTTCTTTAGTTGCTGATCATGTTCTTTATTCTCGCTACCTTAATGTTTGATTGAGGGGTTGTATTGTAAGAAGAAATTAGATTCCGGTCACTCTCATGGGTCAAAGGGTTGAGGAGGGTAATCACAATGAGCTTAAGTGGAGTCTTCAAAAAAGCAGTCATTGTTATACAAGAAAACATCTTCCAGGGATTAATTTCATACTGCAATAACCTGAGTCATACGAAGGCAAGAATACAGAGTTGTGTGGCTGGAATTGTTAGTTTGGCTCTTTGTCTTTCAGGCAAGACTGCCTTGCCATCTCACCAGTATCAGTTTTGTCTTTAGTTACTCACCAACCGTCAGATTCAAACTAAATTTCTTGCACTGAAATGGTGTTAATTCTGGTTTTTTTGTTTTGGTCACAGATTTACAAGTTTTAAGCCAACAACAAAGAGCTTTCAAGCAAACTTAACCCTTAACACCTCAACATCAGTATACATATTCTCCATTAACTCCTCTTAGCTTTATACATTAGTTTCCTTTGGTACTCACAAAGAGAATTTGTTCAACAATCAAAGCTTCTTAGGATTCACAATCATTTCCTTTATTCTCATGAACTTATTTGTATGATTCAGCAGACCTGTAAGAAGAAATAAGATACTGGTTGCTCTTAAGATTTATTTACCCTTTACTCACTAACATCAGTATGCATATTCTCCATACTGATCCCAAGACATTTCCTAGGGTTCTGACAAGGAGAATTTGTTTAATAATCAAGAGATTCACTCTTAGGAGTTAAAGGGTTAACCTATGCATTTACACCCTTAAATCAGTATCAATATTCTTCATACTCTATCCATTTTCTTTTAGTACTGAAAAAGAGAGTTTGTTTAAAAATCAAAGCTTCTAAGGTTGCTGATCATTTACTTTATTCTTATGGTCTTAATGAATGACACAGCAATATAACTGTAAGGAGAAATTAGAGGCCGATCACTCTTATGATTTAAAGGGTTAAGATGTTTACAGAATGTATTTTTGATTGTTAGTTATTTTAACGAGTATTCTCATTATTTGTAGATGACATTATCATCATTTGGTGACAAATATGGGCCTCGGAGAGCATTGGCTGTTTGTTTGATATGTTCTTCACTATCAATGGTGAGGCAGAATAACATGTGTTTATTCTGACTTTCAGTTAGTATTTTTTATCACAATTAGAAGTTATGTTGCAATCTGATTGGCTTATTTGCTGTTGCCTATAAGAATACCGACAGTTACTACTTGTTGATATTTTGTATCTATTTATTATTATCACCTTTCTGATTAAAAGAATATAGCTGTTGTAATATGAAATTTCATTTTAATCACTCCTGGGTGAACTAAAGGACTTTTACAATTTTAAAAGGTTGACCATTGCCCAGACTATAATGTTCAATGAAATGAATTCTGACTTGAAATTATAATTTTTATTGAAAGTCATGAACTTTGTTTCCTTTTATTTTGGTTACTGATAACAGATCTAAAGAAAAAGGGCTTCTTATGAACAAAATCCTCAAAACCCAAGGCACGCATGTACACATATGCTGATATTTTTGATGAGTTACTGACAATAATTGTTGTCTAACTTTCATTTGTTTTTAGATTTCCTTTGGTTACTGGAACAGCGTATTCATGTTTTCAGTTCTCCTTTTCTTGAATGGAACAGCTCAGGTTAATATTTATAAGTTATAATTGGGGGCACCTGCAAAATTCCTTATCAAAAAGTTGTAAACTGCTCAATGCAGTCTAGCTAAAGTCCCTTAAAAAGTACCATAAAGTGTATTAGGGCATAATATTCATATGGAGAATGTGCTATACAAATTCATCCCAATATTTTTACTAAATCCACAAGTTATGTGGCTCATCCCTGACATAAGCAGGCTCTTGTCTCACTTGGCTCACTCAGGGGGGAATAAGAGCAATTGGAGCACAGAATCCTAAGGTTTGAGGTTCGAGGTTCAATTCCTCCCAGGACTCAGAATTTTTCCTAGTTTATCCCACGCTCAGACAAGACAAAAAAACATCTTGCACTATTTCTTAATACTAAGCTCACAATTTACCATTGTTCTTATTCCACTTACAATTAAGATGTTATTTGTAATAACTCAATTTTAAATAAATGTTCATCATAGTCCACAGCCTGGCCAAACGCCGTTAAATCACTGACTGGATGGTTTAGCAACAAGCAAAGGATGACCATCTTTGGTTTGTTTGGAACCAGTAGTTTTGCAGGAGGAATTCTGGGAACAGCAATGGCGGTGAGTACTGCTGTGAATCCTTTCACTCCCAAGATCTCATGAGTAATTCTCCTTACTGTCTGCCATACAATTCTTATGATATTAGTTCAGAGAATTTGGTATTGGATCAACTAATAATTCTCCAATTGACATTTTTCTTTATTCTCACTACTTATCTGCTTAACTTTGTATTGATATTGTAAAGAGAAATTCTTTCTTGGTCACACTTTGGAGTTAAAGGGTTCAGAAGAGTTTTCTGTTCATGGTAAATTTCATCAATTCATTTTATTTTTTTCAATAAATGAAAAGTGTTTTTTTTTTTTTTTTAATTTTTATTATAGGTTCAACTACTGTCTATGTTCGCTCCAGATATGAAGATGATCTTTTTCATACCATCTATTATTGTGGTAGGTTTTCTAGGAATTCATTTAACCCCTTCACACCCTAATATCAGTAAGCATATTCTCCATACTGTTCTACATACGTTTCTTAAGGTACTGACAAGGAGAATTTGTTTAACAATCAAGAGCCTCTTTTATTTGGTGATAATTTTGTAAATTCTCATGACCTTTATGTTTGATTCAGGGGTGATATTGTAAGGAGAAATTAGATTCTAGTTGCTCTTAGGAGTTAAATGGTTAACAACCATGCATTTCTTAACTTTCTTTAAAAGAGAAAAAAAATTCTTTGGAGATTTGATCCTCTCTGAAAAAATCCTTCATTGAAATATGAAAAACTGAACTCAGACAATTGGCAAATTGTCATAAACCTTCCCTTCTTTTATAGCTTGTACATTGATCTTCTGCCATTTGCTGATCAGTGTTGAAGTGGTATAAGATCTTATGACCTAGACAGACCTTTTGCTTGTAATTTACTTTTGTAGGGTATCATTGGTATTTTGGATTACTTGTTCCTCAATTCTCCTTCAGAACTTGGGATTCCTGATGCTAATGCAGGTGAATTATACCCTAAAACTGCTCAGATCAAATGAATTATTCTCCTCTCTAGTCACAGTGACTATATAATTTGATTTAGCTAAGTTAAAAGGATTTGGTATTTAATCAGGATAACATAATTTAGCTGATATGCTCCAACTTCATTTTCAAAACCTATGCATGGGAAAATGTATGGAAGTGGGGGAAGAAAGAACCTGTTTATCACCTTAATATCTTGTCTCTGGATAATTATGTTTATTATTTGAGTTGATAATGTGAGTTAATCACTATAGAGAGTTTCTACAGCTGTTGCTTTGAGCATTAGTTCTTTGTTAGCTCTCTTCTCTGATGAAGAGCCAATGCTCTTAACATCACCTTCATTAAGCTCTTAACAGTGGCCCATTTAAATTTAATCAACTCAGTTGATTAAACCAAGTTTTCTTGCGGTACTCTCCTTCAAGGCAGCACCACAGTACCCTGTTTATAAACAATTTTTGGATTAGATTTTTGTGATATCCAGAATAATCAGGGTTGAGTAGGGATTATTAGCCTCAGCCTTTGACTTTGGCTGATAATCCTTACTGAGAACTTAAATATTTTGAACATCACCAAAACTGAATTAAATAATTGTCTTATTACTCATTGAATTTTGAAAAAATGGTTACGACAGTAAGTGAAACTGATTATTTATTTCTAAATGTCTTTGAGTAAAAATATACAAATCAGCAAGAAACACATGATTACCCTTAGAAATATTATTATGCACTGCGTTCACACATGACATGATTACCTGTGACCATGAATTCCCCTTTACATATGATTATTGTATAATCTGCAGCTAGATGACATCCCAGGTGCTGATTTAGAAAATTCACTGTATGCCTTTGACCCATTAGAGAAGTGATAGCAATTTGAATTTATAAAAATATCCTATCTCTGTTTGTTTGAAGAATCAGGCGAGACCCCTTCAAATACTCCAGAAACTGGTAACCCACCAGCTCAATTGAGTTATAGTCAACTGTGGAGTTTAAGGTAAGGCCTTCTTTTTTGCTATGCTTTTCTTAACCAGCCTTAGTTGTTTATAGGGTGGCTAATGCTATCCACTGGATAAATCTCTATCTGGTGGATAGTGCAGTAAGTACAGGTAATAACATGATTTCTAGTGCAATTTGGTGTTAATACCCACGAGTACATTTTTCAGAGACAACAAAATTGCATGAGCCTGTAGGTCAAGTGCAATTTGTAGTCTTTGGAAAACTGATTTACAAGTGCTTATTACATCAAATTGCACTTGAAATTAATATTATTACTTGGTAATAATGTAAAACTATGTAAAAAAAAACTTTACAGAAAGTCAAGACAAATGAAATTTTGAAAGGGTGCATGCACCACTTGAGTTACAACTTTGCACTCATTTTACAACTTTAAATTCATGTTACCAGAGAATGCACTAGTTTTCAGCCAATTAGAAGTGTATAATTTTTTATATTGGTTATCATTTATCCCCTGGACAGCAATTTTTCCATAGGATAGTGTTGGCTGCCCTTTCAGCAAATGGGCCCATATCATCAGTGTGCATGAGTTTGCTTTTATTAGGTCTTAGGCTCCAAACCCTTAAAACTTCTGTGTCTGTATGCAATTCATCTTAACAATTCGATTTGTGTTTAGGATGATCCCAGAACTCAGCTGGGCTACTTGTTGTGTAAAGTTGGTCAGATATTGTATGTACATGTGGCTGCCGATGTATCTTTACCAAGCGGTAAGTGCAGTTCACCCTTTAATTACCAGATCAAGTTTGTAATGCTCCTTACTGTCAACCTTACAATATTCTTATAATGTTAGTTCAGAGAATTTAATATCGGATCAACTAATTATCCCCAAATTGTTATTTTTCTTTATTCTCATTACTTATCTGGTTGATATTGTATTGGTATTGTAAGGAGAAATTCTATTTTGATCACTCATGGGAGTTAAAGGGTTAACATTAATTCATTGTATTTCCAAGACTTTTCAAGTATTTTGCCCTAGATGACTCCTATAACTCCAGGCATGTTCCCACACCTCCTTCCACCCGAGTTTGAGGTCTGTATTGTAGGTTACAGACCAGTTTTTTTTCTGCTTGAATTCATGGCCCAAGCGAGAACATATTAAATCAGAGCCGGAAAAAAAAAAAGGTTCCGTAACTTACGGTATGTACTGAGAAAACTAGGTGAGCAATATATTCACTGGTTTCTTTATGCCTTTGTTCAAGAACCGTTTGGGCTATTATTTTCAGAGCATCCAATCATCAAATTGTAGACCAAAAGAATTATACTAAATAGCAGATCTAAAATCTGATTTCACATTAATACTGGGTTGTCTTAACATTGAACCACACGGCCCAGGCTAATAAAAAGAAAAGGACATGATCACAACGATGTGCTTTTAATTTCACCCAGCAACTTTAACACAATAGGAAATAAACCGATACTGGGAGTACAAAAGAATTTGGCTAGTGTGACCTTGATATACCCCACGTGCTCTTGTTTGGTCCCTGTCTCTGTTAAGCCCCTCTCAATTTAGCCCCTCTCTATGGAGCTTCCTCTCTATGGAGCCCCCACTCTTTGAAGCTCTCTTTCTAATAAGCTCCTCTCTAATAATCCCCCTCCCTAAAAAGCCCCCTCTCTATGAAGCTCCCTCTCAATGAAGCCCCCTCTCAATGAAGCCCCCTCTCTAATAAGCCTCCTAAACGAACACCAACTCGCTGTTATGCCTCTGTTATAAGAGTATACAATTAAGAACAGATAGAAAAACAGTCTCTGTTAAATAATTTAGACGCAATGAATAGTAGCTAGGTGGGTGATTGGATTTTGAGATCTGATGGTTTAAAAATGCTTTTTACTCATAGCTCAACTACACCAAAATCCAGGCGGGCTACTTGTCCACAGTGTTTGAAATAGGAGGAGTCGTGGGTACTACCGCGTTGGGCTTTGTCGTAACCAGGTAAAATGGTTGGAAATTGTTTTAGCAGGAGTGTGAATCATTTCAGTTCTATGCCATCAGCGTTCAATTGCTGACCGAGAGACGAGCGAAAGACTGCGCCAGCAAAAACGGCGGTTATCAGGGCTGCGGTTTTCCTTTGCCTCATTCCCGCCTTTTTCTGCACGTCCGCTTTTTCGCCTCCCTTCCACGATATGATAGCTTAGCAGTTTTAAGGTTAGCATCAGCGAAATTAATTTTCAAAATGTATAGTGTATCAGCATCCTTCCCGCGATCAGCGACAAGGGACGATTCAGAATCTAACTCGATGTAACCTTTCTACGCGAAAAAAGCGTTAGCCACTTGTTCTTTTCAGCTCAGACACGCGCGTTTCTCGCTAAACTCCTCTTAGAAGACCGTATTAATTTCAGGATTAAAAGTCTGAAATTAAACATATTAAAGTTGTAGGGGGAAAAAAGATTTTATCTCCATGAGATAAAGTTATGCAAGTAGAAAACAGCAAAAAAAAAATTGCGCGGAAATTCGGAAGTGTGGCGCACGACAAGAAGCGCCTCACACTTTATTCGCTGTTTTTTTTACTCGCGCGACGGACTTCGCCGAAATAGAAATGCTCGTTGTCTATGTTTGTCCTGTAAGCTAATTTGCGGTCTGCACACAGGGCAGATGATCCTAAAGTAAGTAATTTACTAATCATTTTGACTCGATGTTGCAAGTTCCTACTACTGTAATCAGTTGTTAGTTTCATTCGTTCAAAGTCTCGGCCGTATTTAAAAGATTAATCTTCACACCGAAACAGTGATACAAGAATGCAAAAATTGGAAATAGAGAAGGAATGATAAAATGCATTGTTGTTTTACGACTTAAAACGTTTAATGGCGAAAAGAAAAATGGTTATTTAGATACGGATGATACGTTCGTACGTTGGTCAGACTTTCATGACATTTGGTGGCTCCTAAAGGAGCCGTTTGTTTTGGCGGGAAACCCACGAAGCGAGTTTACTTGCTGCTAGTGAAACAGTGATACAAGAATGCAAAAATTGGAAATAGAGAAGGAATGATAAAATGCATTGTTGTTTTACGACTTTTAAAACTTTTAATGGCGAAAAGAAAAATGGTTATTTAGATACGGATGATACGTTCGTACGTTGGTCAGACTTTCATGACATTTGGTGGCTCCTAAAGGAGCCGTTTGTTTTTGGCGGCAAACCCACATAGTGAGTTTACTTGCTGCTAGTGTACTTGGTCACAGCCTTTGTTCCTTCACTGACGGCGTGTTTCGCCAGTTCGCCGGGCAGAAGCAGCCTGATCGCAGTCTGGATCTCACGGGAGCTGATAGTCGATTTCTTGTTGTAGTGGGCAAGGCGGGAAGCTTCGGTAGCGATGCGCTCGAAGATGTCGTTGACGAACGAGTTCATGATGCCCATGGCTTTGCTGGAGATACCAGTGTCAGGGTGAACTTGCTTCAACACTTTGTAGATGTAGATAGCATAGCTTTCCCTTCTCTTTCCTCTCCTCTTCTTCTTTCCGTCAGCAGCAATTGCCTTTGCCTTTCCGGCTTTCTTCTCGCCTTTCTTTCCTGCAACTTTGGGAGCCATAATATCTGAAGAACAGTTGTAACTTCAATACCGGGCAACTTGATGCTTCTTCAATTTATAGTGAATAGACGGAAGGATCAATTATCATACGGATCGAAATTCTCGATTGCTGATTGGGTATCAACCCAAAATGACCGCAGAGGTCAAACTTCTTTGTATTTCATTTCTTTTGTAAACAAACCCGAGACAACGGTTATTGAAATTCAATCGGTCAACAAAGATGTGATTGGCGCTTTTCGATCCTTCGTGCATAAATAACTAACCATAAATATCGAAGGTCATTCATCATCCTGCATTCTCGCATCGAGTGAACTTTACGAAATCTTCAAACATGTCTGGTCGCGGAAAAGGTAAAGCTAAAGGCACCAAGTCCAAAAGCCGCTCATCCCGAGCAGGGCTTCAATTCCCAGTTGGTCGAATCCACCGTCTTCTCCGCAAAGGAAATTACGCTGAGCGTGTTGGCGCTGGTGCACCAGTGTACTTGGCTGCTGTGCTGGAGTACTTGAGCGCCGAGATCCTCGAGTTGGCAGGCAACGCTGCTCGTGACAACAAAAAGACAAGAATAATCCCCCGTCACCTTCAGCTGGCTGTCCGTAATGACGAGGAGTTGAACAAACTGCTTGCCGGTGTCACCATTGCACAGGGAGGTGTTCTTCCCAACATTCAGGCTGTTCTTCTGCCCAAGAAGACCGAGAAGAAACCAAAAGCCTAAACAAGTTTTCCACTTCCTACACAAAACGGCTCCTTTAGGAGCCACCAAATACAACTAAAGTCTTTATCAACGGTTTTTAATTCCTTTCATATCCGTCAAACAACAGAACTACAAACTCAGAACTACAAAAAAATGACTTGAACAGAAGCGGTTCCACTCTCCCAGTTAAAAAACATCCTCTTTACTTACAACATGAAAGAATGGTTGCTCGCTGTAGCAGTTAAAATTGTGGTCAAGACCTTTTCACAATTTCAAATTCGTTATGAATATCATGGAATCATGTGCTCCCGTTTTAAAATAACTTGGCTGTCTTTCGTTGACGCGATTTTGGACTGCAAGTGGTTAGCCAGGAAAATCCCTGAGCTTTCAACTTGCGTCGATTCGTGATCTATTAATTTTTTTGACAATTCTTTCGCCGTGACAATTACCCGATTTTTCTGTTTAAAATGCACCAATTCTGACTTGTGATTTACGTGCAGAAATCCGCGACGCTAACCGATCATTCTGCCTTGTCACTAGACCGTTACAGGAATTGCGCCAAAATTTTCTCGGATTTTCTTTCATCACCTACAATGCGCCAAGTAAAGAAAGCAACAAATATTTATATTTGACTGATCAGTACTCGATGACGCAAAGCTGTCTATAATATTTTGCACCTGCAAATCCGACACAAAGTGAAAAGTTTACTTTCTTTTCCTCGGACCACTCGATGGAAGAACGTCACAGACATTGCACCAAATTTGTCACGCGTGGAGGGTATATTGAAATTTTCTTGTTATTCGATACTGCATCTGTGGTCGTCTCAGTAAGTATAGCGGCCACAAAATGTCACAGTTCAATGCTTTCAAAAACCCGGCAACGCTCCGTAGTAGTGTTCTCTTTATTGCGTTTCTGTGCATTGTGATTCACTTTACTAGTTCGCATGCTTCAACATATAAAGACAATTATGTTCCATGGTCACGCAGGAAGATGAAAGGCGGCCACTTCATATTCTACAAAACCCCGAGAAAATGTACTCTGAAGTGGCTATTCGGGCGCGCGCTTCACGTAGCAAGAAATAATATAAAACCAGCCTATTTCTAATCGATTATTTCAACAACTTTATTGGTCACGACTTTTTTAAGACTTGGTGGCTCCTAAAGGAGCCGTTTGTTGTGTGAAGTGTCCGTCTAACCGCCAAAACCGTACAGGGTGCGACCTTGTCTCTTCAGAGCGTACACCACATCCATGGCTGTCACAGTCTTTCTCTTGGCGTGCTCGGTGTACGTCACAGCATCACGGATCACATTCTCGAGGAAAACTTTGAGAACACCGCGAGTCTCTTCGTAGATCAAACCAGAGATACGCTTGACACCGCCACGACGAGCGAGTCGACGGATGGCTGGCTTAGTGATACCTTGGATGTTATCCCGAAGGATCTTTCGGTGACGCTTGGCGCCCCCTTTTCCGAGTCCTTTACCTCCTTTACCGCGACCTGACATGTTGATTAATACTCGAGTGACTGAGTTGTGCCCGAATGACTTGCGTTTCTGTACTTTATAGGGTCAACAATGACCTCTCAGAAAACAAGACAGGCGTGGCTTGGGATTGGTTGAATGCAGAACAAAGGGCTAAAGGCCAAATTATTTCAAAACATATTATTCAAATTATCATGTAAACACAGCTATTTGTTAGCCTGCGCGCTACCAAATCAAACAAGTGCTTACATTTAGTTGATGACAGTTCGTTTGAACTATCACAAACCAATTTCGTTAAGCATTCTCTCCTTTAAAGCAAGTTTTTACACTGCTCAGAGATGTTCCAAAGCCTGATAAACCATTCCAGGTCGATTCGGATCGAAATACAACTACATAACTGTGATGTTATATAGAGTTTCCACACTTGGCCAATCAGATCACTCATTTTATAGTTAATCAGACACAAGCCCGTCAAAGTATAAATAGATTTCGTTTTACATATTTGTTATCACGAAACGTTTTCAAAGAATGGCCCGCCCAAAGCAAACTGCGTGTAAATCTACTGGTAGCAAAGCTCCACGTAAGCAGCTTGCCTCAAACTACTGCCCCTTTCTTGACAAAATTGTTTAGAAAATAGATCGGTGAATAACTGCAAGGTTTGGAATCTTACTAAACGTACAGCAGACTGCTTTCAAAAAGAGTATGAAATATTATCAGTTTGCAAAATGTTATGTCATGTCAGTTGTTAAAGGACCAAGACTGTGCCAGCAAAAAAGGCGGTTATCAGGGCTGCGGTTTTCCTTCGCCTCATTCCCGCCGCTTTCTGCACGCCCGCTTTTTCGCCTCCCTTCCATGAACTGATAGCTTAGCAGTTTTAAGGTTAGCATCAGTGAAATTAATTAATATATATTGTGTATCAGCATCCTTCCCGCTATCAGCGACAAGGGACGATTCAGAATCTAACCCGATGTTACCTTTCTACGCGCAAAAAAGCGTGAGCCACTCGTTCTTTTCAGCTCAGGCACGAGCGATTCTCGCTGAACTCCTCATAGATGACCGTATCAATCTTAGGATTAAAAAAGTCTGAAATTAATCATATTGAAATTGTAGGAAAAAAAACCTTTATCTCCACGCGATTAAGTTATGCAAGAAGATAACAGTAAAAAACAAAATTGATGTTGGCGCGCCGCGCGGAATTTCGGAAGTGTGGCGCACGACAAAAGGCGCCTCACTTTTTATTCGCTGTTTTTTTTAATCGCACCACGGACTTCACCTAAAAAGAAAGAATGCTCGTTGTCAATGTTTGTCCTGTAAGCTAAATTATGGTCTGCACACAGGGCTAGTGATCCTAAAATTAGTAATTTACTAATCATTGATGTTGCAGGTTCCGACTACTCAAATCTGTTTTAAATTTCATTCGTTCACACCGAAACAGTGATACAAGAATGAAAAATAGGAAATATAGAAGGAATGATAAAATGCATTGTTGTTTTACGACTTTTAAAACTTTCAACGTTCGTACGTTGGTCAGACTTTCATAACATTTGGTGGCTCCTAAAGGAGCCGTTTGTTTTGGCGGGAAACCCACAAAGTGAGTTTACTTGCTGCTAGTGTACTTGGTCACAGCCTTTGTTCCTTCACTGACGGCGTGTTTCGCCAGTTCGCCGGGCAGAAGCAGCCTGATGGCTGTCTGGATCTCACGGGAGCTGATAGTCGATTTCTTGTTGTAGTGGGCGAGACGAGAAGCTTCGGTAGCAATGCGCTCGAAGATGTCGTTGACGAACGAGTTCATGATGCCCATGGCTTTGCTGGAGATACCAGTGTCGGGGTGAACTTGCTTCAACACTTTGTAGATGTAGATAGCATAGCTTTCCCTTCTCTTTCCTCTCCTCTTCTTCTTTCCGTCAGCAGCAATTGCCTTTGCCTTTCCGGCTTTCTTCTCGCCTTTCTTTCCTGCAACTTTGGGAGCCATAATATCTGAAGAACAGTTGTAACTTCAATACCGGGCAACTTGATGCTTCTTCAATTTATAGTGAAAAGACGGAAGGATCAATTATCATACGGATCGAAATTTGCGATTGCTGATTGGGTATCAACCCAGAATGACCGCAGAGGTCAAACTTCTTTGTATTTCATTTCTTTTGTAAACAAACCAGAGACAACGGTTATTGAAATTCAATCGGTCAACAAAGATATGATTGGCGCTTTTCGATCCTTCGTGCATAAATAACTAACCATAAATACTGACGTTCATTCATTCTTTTTCCTACATTCTCGCAACGAGTGAACCTTTCGAAATATTCAAACATGTCTGGTCGCGGAAAAGGTAAAGCTAAGGGCACCAAGTCCAAAAGCCGCTCATCCCGAGCAGGGCTTCAATTCCCAGTTGGTCGAATCCACCGTCTTCTCCGCAAAGGAAATTACGCTGAGCGTGTCGGCGCTGGTGCACCAGTGTACTTGGCTGCTGTGCTCGAGTACTTGAGCGCAGAGATCCTCGAGTTGGCGGGCAACGCTGCTCGTGACAACAAGAAAACAAGAATCATCCCCCGTCACCTTCAGCTAGCTGTCCGTAATGACGAGGAATTGAACAAACTGCTGGCTGGCGTCACCATTGCACAGGGAGGTGTTCTTCCCAACATCCAGGCTGTTCTTCTACCCAAGAAGACTGAGAAGAAGCCAAAAGCCTAGACAATGTTTTCACTTACACAAAACGGCTCCTTTAGGAGCCACCAAATACAATGAAAGTCTTTATCAACGGTTCTTTTATTCCTTCCATATCCGTCAAACATACAAAGGATAACCTGAACAGAAGTTGTCTCACTTTTCCAGTTCAAAAATATCTTCTTTATTAATTACATGAAAGAGTGGTTGCTTGGTGCAGAAGTTAAAGTTTGGTCAAGACCTTTTTCATGTGCTCCCGATTTAAAATAACTTGGCGGTCTTTCTTTGTAGTGATTTTGGACTCCAATTGGTTAACCGCCAAGATCCTTGCGTTTCAACTCACGTCGATTCGTGGTCTATGAATTTTTTTTTATTAGTGGTTCACAATTCTTTCGCCGTGACAATACCCCAAATTTTCAGTTAAAATTACACCAGCTCTGACATGTGATTTATGTGCAGAAATCCGCGACGTAAGCCGGTTCTTCTGCATTGTCCCTAGACCGTTACAGGAATTGCGCCAAAATTTTCTCGCATTTTCTTTCATCACCTACACTGCGCAAAGTATAGAAAGCAACGAATATTTATATTTGACTGATCTCGATGACGCAAAGCTGTCTAGAATATTTTGCGCTTGCAAATGCGATACAAAGTGAAAAGGTTTCTCTCTTTTCGTTGGACCACTCGATGGAAGAACATCAGAGACATTGCACAAAATTTGTCACGCCTGGAGGGTATATAAAAATTTTTCTTGTTATTCGCTGCTGCACCCGTGGTCGTCTCAGTAAGTATAGCGGCCACAAAATGCATGGTTCAAAGCTTCCAAAAACCCGGCAATGCTCCATAGAAGTGTTCTCTTTTTTTGCGCCTATGTGCATTGTGATTAACTATAAAAGAGAGCATGCTGCAACATATGGAGAAAATTTATGATTCATGACTACGCAAGAAAACGAAAGACGGCCACTTCATGTTTTACAAATTTTCGAACTTCAAAACTGAATAATCTAACCAGACACTGAGGAAAGCAATTTTCTCGCTCGCTGTATTAGCCACAATATTACAAAACTCAGACCGTTTATATCAATTCTAACACTCAACAAATTCAACAGACAAGAAAATGTACTCTAAAATGAAATTCAATGTGGCCATTCGGGTGCGCGCCTCACGTAGCAAGAAAAAATATGATTCCAATCTTTCTAATCGATTATTTCAATCATTTTATTGGTCACGACTTTTATAAGATTTGGTGGCTCCCAAAGGAGCCGTTTGTTTGTGTATCGAAGTGTCCTTCTAACCGCCAAAGCCGTACAGAGTGCGACCCTGTCTCTTCAGAGCGTACACCACATCCATGGCTGTCACAGTCTTTCTCTTGGCGTGCTCGGTGTATGTCACAGCATCACGGATCACATTCTCGAGGAAAACTTTGAGAACACCGCGAGTCTCTTCGTAGATTAGACCAGAGATACGCTTGACACCGCCACGACGAGCGAGTCGACGGATGGCTGGCTTAGTGATACCTGGTGGGAAGGCTCCACGTAAACAGCTTGCCTCAAATTACTGCCCCTTTCTTGACAAACTTGTTTAGTTTCGCAGAATTTCTCACTTGCGTTGCTAAGAATTCCGCACACGCTGGTTCAGTAATCTTGGACTGTATACTTTCTCTTGATTCAGGCTTTATAGACGACAATTCAATATCACACGTTCCGTTCTGGGATCTATCTACTCTATTACAATCTAATCTTAGGGTTACAAAAATGTTACATTTATTAGCTGAGTAAATCCACAGCCAGATGCGTAGTTCCATGTGGGATTCAAGATTCACTCACGTTCTACAACGATCCGTAGGCACTAATAATTTCCTATTAAATATGGCTTTACTTGACAATCATGCTGCTAAGTTCCTACGCGCTTAAACGCCTAGCCAATACCTAATTTCACACATCACTGCTGGCTGAACTAATTTGATTATCCTATGCCGCTGCTAATTACATGTTACTTCTAATTGTAACGTTGACTCTGTGCTTTAACGGTAACGAAATTACAACTCACTTAATACATAATAAAATTGACAATAAATCTAGGAAATCAATTTTTGCATGGAAACATTTCTCAACATTTAGAAAGCAGATCGGTGAACAATTGCAAGGTTTGGAATCTTACTAAACGTACAGCAGACTGCTTTCCAAAAGAGTATGAAAATGTTATCAATTTGAAAAATTTTATGACGTGTCGGTTTTTAAAGGATCATATACTACGCTTCCTCGTTAATTTACAGTTTCTTCATGCGTTAGACGAGCTTAGTAAGCAGTAAAGACCTCTTTACTGTTTCAATTATTAGAGCACTTTGGCAGAAATTGAAGCATTTAAGTCTCCTGCGTGACGAGACCAAACAATGGTTGCGAAGGAGACTAGGACCATCTATCTAGGATAAATCATTTAAAATTTGCTTCCATGTTATCTCTTTCGACGGTTGGCTATCTCTGCAACTACAGTGAACTTTCGTTTTTCGTGTGTATGAGTTTGTTTTTCAATCTCGGATAATACGCCAAAGAATATTCATTAAGGGTCAGACTGTTAAAAATCTTTTATGCGAAGATACGTATATGATCATTTCGCTGAAACTGCACACCCACAAAAAATTTAATGGTGACAGCGATCATAAAAATCTTCCTTTTGAAATGATATACACGAGAATGTGTAACCATTGACAGAGTGTGTCGTTCTCGAACCGATTTTTTTATATCAACACGTTAAGTCTTTGACCGAAGCCTTCTCTGTAATTCTAGGATAGAAAAAACCTATCAAGGGAAGACATGAAGGTCGATGCGAGACAATTCTTAGGAGTTGAAACCCCAATTGTATTATAGGGAGTCATTGATCATTGCTTTAATTCATGTGGTGGCTCCTAAAGGAGCCGTTTGTTTGAATGTTGATGCAGTCCACTTATGCTCGTTCTCCGCGGATTCGGCGGGCCAGCTGAATGTCCTTGGGCATGATGGTGACACGCTTGGCGTGGATGGCACACAAGTTGGTGTCTTCAAACAGACCGACAAGGTAAGCCTCGCTAGCTTCTTGAAGAGCCATCACAGCCGAGCTCTGGAAACGTAGATCGGTCTTGAAATCTTGGGCGATTTCTCGCACAAGACGCTGGAAGGGAAGCTTGCGGATCAACAGCTCGGTGGATTTCTGGTAACGACGGATCTCACGAAGAGCGACTGTACCAGGCCTGTATCGATGAGGTTTCTTGACTCCACCGGTCGCAGGGGCGCTCTTACGGGCTGCTTTTGTGGCGAGCTGTTTTCGTGGAGCTTTCCCACCAGTTGATTTACGCGCAGTTTGTTTTGTACGAGCCATTTTTTGACAAGATTTGATTATCAAGAAAGCTTACTGAGTATAAAGCTAATTGCTTACAAATCAATTTATACCTTGGCGGGCTAGTATCTGATTGGCTTTAAAATAAGAGATCTGATTGGTCGAGTGTGAGAACTGTAAATAATATCACAGTTATGTAGCTGTATTTCGATCCGAATCGACCTGGAATGGTTTAGAAGGCTTTGGAACATCTTTGTGCTGTATAAAAACTTGTTTTAAACGATTGAGAGCTTAACTGAAGTGGTTGAGTGGTAGTTTAAACGAACTTTTATAGAACAGATGTCAACACTTGTTTGATTGCAAAGGTTGTTAGCGTGCAGGAGTAGGAGTGCTCACATGCTGGTTTGTAAGATTGTTTACTAATTGGGCCTTTAGCTCCTTTGTTCTGCATTCAACCAATACCAAGCTACGTCTGTCTTGTTTTCTGAGAGGTCATAGTTGCCCTTATAAACTAACAGAAACGTCATTCATTCAGTCATAACTCAGTCACTCGAGTAACAATCAGTATGTCTGGTCGCGGCAAAGGAGGTAAAGGTCTCGGAAAAGGAGGCGCCAAGCGTCACCGAAAGATCCTCCGGGATAACATCCAAGGTATCACTAAGCCAGCCATCCGTCGACTTGCTCGTCGTGGCGGTGTCAAGCGTATCTCTGGTCTGATCTACGAAGAGACTCGCGGTGTTCTCAAAGTTTTCCTCGAGAATGTGATCCGTGATGCTGTGACATACACCGAGCACGCCAAGAGAAAGACTGTGACAGCCATGGATGTGGTGTACGCTCTGAAGAGACAAGGTCGCACTCTGTACGGCTTTGGCGGTTAGACGGACACTTCGATACACAAACAAACGGCTCCTTTAGGAGCCACCAAGTCTTGGAAAAGTCGTAATCAATAAAATGGTTTTCGTCATTGATAAAATGTACTGACCTACCCCACTAGGACGGGAGCCGCATTAAACACAGCGTATCAGCATCCTTCTGCAAAAATTCGTTGCGAAATATTGTTTTATAGGATTTTAATTTCAAGAGAGAATCAAAGTGTCTAATCAAAGAGCGAAGACACAGCTTTCCTACTTGTCTCCAGTGGTTTTATGTTTGGGATAAGTGGTTATGGGAAAGCTCGCGGCCGTTTTGATCTTGCTGCGTCTCGTTTACTTTCTAAGACTAATTGACCTTTAGTACTGGACCTTGCGGTCACAAACACGCATTTGGGCATTATGTCGCAATTTTTCTAACGTTCCATTTCAAGGCTAACTGTAAACGGAACGAAATGATATGAAAATCTGTAATTTGCGAAATAAGATTTCTATTTTGCAAATTACAGATTTTTGTTTGTAATTTACATATTTCTCTTTCGAAAATTACAGATTTTCATTTCGCAGATTAAAGATTTTCATTTCGTTTCGTTTTGCAAATTATAGAAAGCCATTGGAAGCGAATAGTGCACGCTATTTGTGAGTTATAATGGTTCTTAATGCCTAGTTCCCTCTTAAGATCCTATAACCAAGCTCAAGATATTTTAAGATATTGTTTTTTAAGCTTTGGATGATCGAGTATTGATTAGTCACACATTAGTATTCGTTACTGTTTGGCACAATGTAGGTAACGTGTTCTTCGGAGCGCAAAAATTTGCGCGCGCTAATGGACTACGATCTTTTGCTGGCTTTCGGTTCAGATAAACTCCCATTATAGTCTTGGAATTGGAAATTAAACGAGGAAAGTTTGGGCAATATGTATTAGTTACTTTTTGGCGCAGTGTAGATAATCTTCCACGCTGGAATCTTACATCAGTTCTTACATCAGTGATGTGTGAGTCAATTTTGGCGGTATTTCTGTAACGTTCTTATCGATCAGGTGAAAAACCGGATAGCGCATTGTTGGTGTTTTTTTTATGGGAAAAATATCTTGGCGAAAGAATTGAAAATCACCGAAACACTTCGTTGACAATGAATCAATTTCATTTGAAAGCACATGGATTTTGGCGGCGAACCATTGTCCGTCTAAATGAGCGTATGACCGCCAATTCCTTGTGGAACAGGAGCACCTAATGTTCAGATCGAATTTGAAATCATAAAATTGACCATAATTTTCCGACTGCCACAAGTAGCGACCAAACTTCCTGTAGTGACTGAATAGGATACTTTTATTTAACTGGGGAAGTGGTATCTCTTATGGCAATTTTATCTGTATTTTTTTTAATTAAAGCAAGTTTGACGAATATTTAAGGAATAACAAGCGGTTGATCGAGACTTTTATCGTATGTGGTGGCTCCTAAAGGAGCCGTTTTTTATAAGCAGTGAAAGCTTGTTTAGGCTTTCGGTTTCTTCTCGGTCTTCTTGGGTAGAAGAACAGCCTGGATGTTGGGAAGAACACCTCCCTGTGCAATGGTGACGCCAGCCAGCAGTTTGTTCAACTCCTCGTCATTACGGACAGCTAGCTGAAGGTGACGGGGGATGATTCTTGTTTTCTTGTTGTCACGAGCAGCGTTGCCCGCCAACTCGAGGATCTCAGCGCTCAAGTACTCGAGCACAGCAGCCAAGTACACTGGTGCACCAGCGCCAACACGCTCAGCGTAATTTCCTTTGCGGAGAAGACGGTGGATTCGACCAACTGGGAATTGAAGCCCTGCTCGGGATGAGCGGCTTTTAGACTTGGTGCCCTTAGCTTTACCTTTTCCGCGACCAGACATGTTTGAATATTTCGTAAAGTTCACTCGATGCGAGAATGTAAGAGAATGAATGAACTTCAATATTTATGGTTAGTTATTTATGCACGAAGGATCGAAAAGCGCCAATCACATCTTTGTTGACCGATTGAATTTCAATAACCGTTGTCTCTGGTTTGTTTACAAAAGAAATGAAATACAAAGAAGTTTGACCTCTGCGGTCATTTTGGGTTGATACCCAATCAGCAATCGAGGATTTCGATCCGTATGATAATTGATCCTTCCGTCTATTCACTATAAATTGAAGAAGCATCAAGTTGCCCGGTATTGAAGTTACAACTGTTCTTCAGATATTATGGCTCCCAAAGTTGCAGGAAAGAAAGGCGAGAAGAAAGCCGGAAAGGCAAAGGCAATTGCTGCTGACGGAAAGAAGAAGAGGAGAGGAAAGAGAAGGGAAAGCTATGCTATCTACATCTACAAAGTGTTGAAGCAAGTTCACCCTGACACTGGTATCTCCAGCAAAGCCATGGGTATCATGAACTCGTTCGTCAACGACATTTTCGAGCGCATCGCTACCGAAGCTTCCCGCCTAGCCCACTACAACAAGAAATCGACCATCAGCTCTCGTGAGATCCAGACAGCCATCAGGTTGCTTCTGCCAGGCGAACTGGCGAAACACGCCGTCAGTGAAGGAACAAAGGCTGTGACCAAGTACACTAGCAGCAAGTAAACTCACTTCGTGGGTTTCCCGCCAAAACAAACGGCTCCTTTAGGAGCCACCAAATGTTATGAAAGTCTGACCAACGAACGAACGCACCATCCGTATCTAAATAAGCATTTTCCTTTTCGCCATTAAAAGTTATAAAAGTCGTAAAACAACAATACATTTTATCATTCCTTCTCTATTTCCCATTTTTGCATTCTTGTATCACTGTTTCGGTGTGAAGACTAATCTTTTAAATGCGGCTGAGACTTTGAATGAATAAAATTTTAAACCGGTTACGGTAGTCGGAATTTGCAACGCCAAGTCAAATTGATTAGTAAATTAATAACCTTAGGTCACTAGCCTGGTGTGCACACCGCAATGTAGCTTATAGGACAAACCTGGACCACGAGTAATCTTTATTTTTTGGGCGAAGTCCGTCGGACGAGCAAAAAGAAAAAAATAAACAGCGAATAGACAGTGAGGCACTTTTCGTGCGCTCTCTGAAATTCCGCGCGGCGCGTTAACATCAATTTTGTTTTTTTGCTGACTTTTCTTTTGAAGTCGCGCGACAGGCTTCGACGACAAGGACTATATTCGTAGTCTAGAACAAGAGCTAATCTTTTTCGTTGACGCTCTACTTGCATTCATCTCCCTTGCCTTCCCCACTGGTCTCATCCTCTTACTTCCTCCTACCTCCGGCCCTCGCCTCTCCCTGTCTTTCCCCCCCCTTCTCCCCTTGCCTCCCCGGCCCCCGTCTGAAAAAAAAGAAAAAATGAATCTTTTTTCCGTCGGCTCCCTTTTTTTGTTTCAAAGAGATTAATATCATTGACTCTGTTTCAGGTTACTTCAGGGTAGAGCTGTATATGGTGTGACTCTGGCTCTGTTGGGAAGCACAGTTTTCATGGCTCTTTTCCAATACACGGGAGACTGGGGCCTCATGGTGAACGCGTTATTCATGTTCCTGGCCGGAGCCTGCAATTGTGGCGTTGATCCGTATTTGAGTGGTTCAATTCCTGCAGAGATTGGTGAGCGTGATAATGCACAAGCAGCTGCAACTGGCCTTGTCAATGGTAGGTAGGAATCGGGTCGCCGTCAAGATCTAGTTGCTTGGATAAACCCCTTCCCTCTCCCAAACCTGTTTATTTAGAGGGTTGGGTGTACTCAAGCCCGGAAAAAATTTTATTTACTGGATAGGAGTCTTTCAGGCGCGTGGAGGTGAACGCAAGGGTTACACGAGGGGCGCCCCTCTCATTGCGCTCGTCCCTCGTGTTCGCGCCGCATTTCACTCTGCTTGCGTGAAAAACGCAGAGGAAAAAAAAGGCCTGTTTTGGACGCTAGGCGAAATCTAGAGAAAGGAGATTGTAGTGTATAATTGCTCGTCTGAGAAATTTCCAGTTGGGGCTGAGTTTCTATCAATACGCGCTGTGCTCGATTAAGGAAACTCGCGCCGCCATCTGCACCAATCTGACGGAAAAATCAACCAACCGCAACTTGACCACAAGCGGTTTCCCGACTCCGACAGAAGCGGCTCTAAGAAATAAGGACACAGACGACAACGGGAACAGCAAAACCCGCGAAGATACTGGGTGTAGAGAATGCCTTTGAGGCGGGAATTTACAAACAATAGTTTGCCCTCTTGTAATGCCTTTGCATTACTTTACCTTTTTTGTCCAACACACAGGTGATAAGCGCTCTAACGTTTAATATCCCCTTTCCTTTTCAGGGTTTGGTGGTGTTGGCCCTATAATTGAAGGGCCCGTTGTGGGTTGGATCGCTGACAGGTACGGCTGGACAGGACCCTTTTACTTGATGGTGGCCACGTCCCTTCTTAGCTTTCTTATAATGGTGAAGGCCCACAGGATGGAACAGTCGATGAAACGGGCGCAATTTATGGGAACTATAACTGCAGAAACAGCCTGAAGGACCCTGTGTATAGCAAAGTAGACGTGCGGAACAGTCACGGAGAGAGTGCGGCAATTAGTGAAAACACTAGTTTCGTTCCCAGATCGTTGTTTTTTGATCGTATTTCAATCTCGAGCCCAAGGTTATTTTGGCTCCTTGTCAGTTTGTATGGTCGCCAAACACCGCAGGCGAGGAGTCAAAATTACCCTGGGCTCGAGATTGATCGTATTTGTGAACATCTGTGAGCCGTGAGAGGCCTGAAACGAAGATTACGGGAACTTTTAGAAAATATATAAGAAATGTTTATAAGAAATTTTTTGTTTACCGCACAAAATTTTACATGCAAGATTAAGCGTTTGGTTACACTAACGCATCCCCTAATGACTCAAATACCCGCCGCGTCGTTGCGGCTACTTTGCATTCTTTTTACAATCTGTTACAACATTCTTATTTTCTTTGTGGGGGAAATATTGATCGTTAGTTTAAGCAAGTAGAACATGTGTTGGGGGTGAATAAAAATATTAATATCGTCACTGGATGTAATGCCAGTGCAGAGAAGATTTTAATTTCATGTGCAATCAGTCGTCGCATCTGAAAACTGCTATATTGAAAAACTATCAGGTGATTTATCCTTGTAAGGCACCCACATTCTCACGCGGGATTCGCGACTCCCATCGAGACGAGGCTCGCGAGCGAAAAAATAGCTAGCTCCAGTCTCGCTCTCCATTTTCATTCTTTCCCTAGCCTTTCGTCTGAATGCCACATTCTTTTGTAGGAAGTGAAGTTTTGAGGAACTGGGCGAAGAAATGAATATTGCGTTCAACCGCACAATACTTGTTTCCATTTTTGCATTGGTCGATTACCAATGAGTCCCTTTTACTTGTTACGGAGAAACATGTCAGAGCGCTTTGCGATTAAGTGTCGTAATACCAAAACTAAAGTAACCACTACAGCCTGTCAGCAGAAAGAAAAACACCTAAAGGGTCAATGGGTATTCAAAGTAAAAACGACCACGGATTGCCTGAGAAAAGCGCAGCAAAGCGCTGGCAACCAAGTCATGATTGGTGTTCGTTTTGCATCTGGTTGGTTGAGAGAGTGAAGCGAGTTTTCAGGATCATGCACGTGATAAGGTAAAACCAATGCAATCTTGGATTACTTACGGCACTCGTTGAAAATTGCTGAATTCCTGAGTACTTTGAAACATCTGAAAATCCCCTTGAAAACGCACGTTTTACGCTAATTCACAGAGCTGGTTTGTTCAGCTTGTTACAGCTTTTACGACTTTCTCATTGCCTTTTTTTGCAGCTTTGCCATGGTTTACGTTCAGATATAGCTCCAAAACAAGGGTGAACAATTACTGTGAATTTTCCGTATACTCCACATGTGGAGACGCATCTGTGATGTTAGCTAAGGGCGGGAAAAGCGTGGTTACGATTGGCTTAAATACACGTACGTGACCTGACCTTAGGGAGGTAAAAAGACTAGATCCGAATTAGCAAAGTTTTGCATCTGATTAGTGAATTGAATGGAGAATGAGGAGACTTGCTTTAAGCAATTACATAACGCATCAAAGTTCAGGAGTGTTTTCCATACCGTAACGTGAATGAAATTACCTATGAAGCCGGTTTTGGCAAGCTTGTCGTTTTCAATCCCTACCAATCTTCACCATCCTCAGTCATCCTTGTTTCTCTTTGTGTCAACATTGTCTGTGAACTTCTCTAAGTTTTTTTGTTCTTTTTTGTTTTTTGTTTTGTTTGTTTGTTTTTTTTTTAACAAATGTTTCAGCCTTGTTCATGGAAAGAACTGCAACAGTTACCCATAAAGCTCAGAAAACCATGGAAATCGGAGGATCTTTAGAAAGTTTTTGTGATTAAGAAACAAGAAAGCTATAAAAAGTGAAAACTCAGTTTTAAACAGTTTACTACAGAGCTCAGAGAACCATGGACATCAGAGGTGTATTCGGAATTTTTTTGTGTGTTTCAAAGAGGAAGCTAACTGGGTCAGAAAACTAAACTGCAAACAGTAGTGGTAATACCTTTGTGGTTTTTATGTTCTCTTGTATGTTTTGGACTTTGACCACGATTATCAGTTGAGTGAGGCTAAGAAAAAATTTTGTTGACAGAGTTTTGATCATAAAGTTAGAATGTTGTTACACCCAATCTTCATCATTTCCAATGGTAACCAAATCTCACAAGCCATGTGTCACCAACTGTCAAACATGAAGGCCTGTGAAAAGAAGTTAACATGTCATAGGTAACAGAGTCAGTTACACATGACAACAGCATGATTTTAACATCAAATTACTAGTTTCATCATACCTCACTCAACTGAAAATTGTAGTATGTGATTGGTCCATACACAAGAATCAAATCAAAGTGTCCACATGTTTCTTCATTTTAAAGTAAACAGATCATTGAAACAATAAAATAATTTATTGATAACCTCACCCTTTATAACAAGAAAAAGTTACAACATTATTTACCCCAAGCACAATATCTATCCAATAATTGATCTATGTACTGAAATTTGATAAAAGATGTTTTATTATTTCACAGGTATTTGAGAAAATCTACACTTTTACAATTTTGAGACAATTATTGATGACCCATCATAGAGTTTATAAGATTATAAACTTGTGTGGATCATGTCAGGAAGCTGCAAAAAAATTGGCTCAAATTTGGCGGGTGTTGACTACTTTTTAGCATATTTACTAATGTGATTAAATAAGATTTATGCCTTCCAACTGGTTGACAATTACATAAAAAATTCTTCTCATTATCCTATGCAAGGTGACTGTAAATACATATCAGGAAGACTGTATTAACCCTTTCACTCCCATGAGTGACCAAGACAGAATTTCTCCTTTCAATATCAATACAATATCAATCAGACAAGGGATGAGAATAAAGAAAACTATCAACTTGGGGATAATTAGTTGATCTAATTATCCTAAATTCTCTGAACTAACATCATAAGAATTATATGCTTGATAGTAGGGAGAATTACAAATTTGGTCTGGGAGTTAAAGGGTTAAGTTTCAAGATGGTTGTATCATGATTTACAATGGTATCTAAGTGCCTTTTTTAATAATTTTTTATTGTTATAGTATTGTAATGTGCTTTGAGCACTGGAATTAAGACTTTGTGAAGTTCCTGGTGTGAATAATACAAGGTTAGGAGACATCAGGGACAAAATTTTACTGAGAAATAAAGCCATCTTTACTTTCTATTACCAGGAAAATTTAAGAAACCAAGAATTCAAGAAATCAGGATTATTTTGAGTGTTTTCATGATTATTCAAAAAAATGGCAGAAATATAATACAGTATTCTTCTGTCACCAAGTTATTCCTTTAAGTCCCAAACTGATTAGCTTGTAACTTCTCCCTATAATAAATTATATCCACACACATTCCAGCAGATGTAGGTAATAATAATCAAACTCATCAAATAGAAGTTGTTATCCTGATTTAACACCACATTCTCATAACTCATTTACAAGGAAATTTGTAGTAGCTGAGGGGAGAATTAAAAATCAGATCTTGGGAGTTAATGGGTAAAAAAACCAAGAATTCAAGATATCGTGTTAAACAGATTTTTTTCATGTCTGTTACAATATGGCAGAATAATAATATGCAGTATTCTTCTGTAGCAAGATTAACTGGCCTTAGTCATCTCCAACTTAAAACCATTGATTATCTCTGAATATACAATAGAGGCATTGAAGAGGTTTATCCTACATAAATATTTAAAACAACAAAATTTTCACCTTTCATAACCCTTCAACTCCCAGTTCTAAGTGATTAACATGTAACTTCTCCCTGTAATATTCATACATTATTCAGCAAACAGGTAACGAGAATATTCAAACTTATCAGGTTAAAGATGTCATCTTGATCTATTACCTAATTCTTATAGCTCATTTACAAGAATTGTGTTGTTGCTAGAGTGGAGAATTGACAATCAGATCTTGGGAGTTAAAGGGTTAACTGACCCTGGTTTTCTCTAACTTATAAATATCATTTTATCTTTGAAGTTACAACTGAGGCAAAGAGGGTTATTTAACTTTAATATTGAGAATAGCAAAATTCTCAGCATAAAACTTTCAAACTAAGTTAATAATTTGAAAGAAATATTTCTCTGGTGCAACTAAACAAGACTTAAAAAAACTAAACAACATTCCCTCCATTTTTCTGCTCTCCATGGTTTCCATTGCCTTTGTGAGTCTGCTCAACCTTGTTATGCTGTGCTTTCATTTCACTATGTTTCACAAATGTGTAAGCAGTTGAACCCCCTAAAACTAACGCATTACTAAACCACCACAAAGCTGTTTTAATCTCATGATTCACTGTCACAGAGAGAATTGTCTGAGCACAAGCCTTGGCAGTTCCACTTACATTGTGCGTCAATGGACTTGTCACTTTGATTTGAAGGCCTGTTATATATCCGATTGCGATTCCAAACAACCCACCCAATACCATCATACCCCAAAAGTATACTGACTTGAGCATGTGGAAGCCATAGATCACTTTCACTTCACCACATATCACCATAAGAGGCAGGAAAAGAAATACAGCATTAAAATTGTTATAGAGTTGTAGACGCCAGATGTTACTATCAACAACTGGGAGAACCTTTTTGGTGAAAATTGCATTTAGGGATACACAAAGGCTGGCTAACACTCCAAACAGAATTCCAAGATAGGACAGTTCTCCTGAGTTTCCTTCTTGGTCGACACCCAAAAGAAAACCACAAATAATAATGGAACAGCAGAACATGGCTTTGCAGGATGTCTTCTGGCCAAGGATAATAAAGGAACAGATCTAACCAACAAAACAAACCGAGCAAAGTTAACTAAACTAAAATGTCATCCATTATTATCATTTTTCGGGCACTGTGATGCAGTTTGTGTGCTGAAGGCAAGATTTTGACAAGCTAAAATGTATTTCAGTTCCCTTGCATGCTTGCATTATTGTTCTGACTGTTTAGTAACCAGCTTATGTTCCTGCCCAAGCCGGGTAAGGGGAAAATGACTGCAAAAATGGCTCAAAACAAATTTGTGCCTGCAAAACATAAACTCTATTGTTTTATTGCATTCACAACTTTTTCAGTTGGTATCATTATTTTCACCATTCCAGTAAAACGAGCTAAACAAACACAAGCAGGTTTCTGTTTCATCATTTTTCAAGGTCTCATGACAAACTGCTACCAAGATTATCACACATCAAATCCCTACAGCTTTGTATTACAGTAACTATACATGGCCAATACACAGTAAGCAGAAAACTGTTGTGAAATGAAAAACCCTTCCTCAAATTGCAGTTCAAAATTTAGTTGCATTTTATCATAGTGTAATCATAGCACTTACCACATTGAAAACAGTTGTAAGTGACCTTCCAACATTGTAAAATGACACTCCAAGGTACTTGAGACACAGGTTATTGAAAGTAATCATTCCCACAAAAACAATGGACAATGGAAGAACCTGTGGAAACGTCAAAGAACAATATGATCACTAACCCTTTAAACCCTAAGAGTGATCAGCACCTAATTTCTCCTTAAATTACTTGACGTGTTAAACCCTGAGATTGACCAGCATCTATTTTCTTCTTACAGTAATACTGCTATATTATTCATTAAGATATGAGAATAAAGGAAATGATCGCCGACCTGAGAAGTTTTGATTGTTAGACAAATTCTCCCTGTCAGTACCAAAGGACATGTATAGGGAAGAGTATAGAGAATATCGATACTGATGTTAGGGTGTAAAGGGCTAAAAATCAAAATGAGGCAAATGGACAAAGCACAGGCATTGTGGTTCCACCTCTTAACTGGAGACACAAAAAAAATGATAACTAAGCCATGAACCAATCAACCCTTTCACTACCATGCATGACCATGGAGTAAATTCCCCTTACAGTATCAATACAGTGTTGAGTAAACAACTGATGAGAATATATGAAGAGACACCTCAACTGGAAGCTACCATTGGATTTCAATAAACACCAAATTCTCATCACTAACATCAAGAGAAATAAATCATAGACAGAAAAGAGAATTGCTATTGAGATCTTGGAAGGAGTATAGTATCAAACTATATACAAAGATCAAATATGCAAGAGGTCTGACATGAAAACCCCTTAGCACTGATGTAAAGACTTCCTATTTAATGCTCAGATTTCCAAGTACATTACAATCATACAAATTAAACTTAGAAATCCTTTTAAAGAGCCTTGGCAAACTTTGCTAAACATGTACATCCAAGAAACCCCTATCTTTGTTGCACACATTGCATTTAACAGTTTACTCCAAAAAAGATACTGACACGTAGCATGAAATATTACAGACAATACTATATATTTCCAATAGTCACGTGCAGCTGAATTCCTCAATAGCAGATGCACCAATATTTCACCCTTCAAAAGTAAACCTATGTGCAAATGACACAATAGACAAGACAACTGAATTATGAAAAAACTATACACACCTCTCTTGACACCTTTAGATCAATAGTGAAAGCTGGGAACTTGTCAATCCATGGATATTTATCTCCCAAAAAACTCAGAAGGAACAAGCAAATTAAGCAAACAACACATTGAAACCAAGTGACAAACAGTGGAGCATCAAGCTGAGAAAAAAAAAGAGAAGCAGTTTTAGTCCCCAGAGGTGATTAACATGTAACTTCTCCCTGTAATACCCATCAATTATCCAGCAAACAAGTAATGAGAATACTCAAACTTATCTGGTGGAAGTTGTTACCTTGATCTAAAACCAAATTCTCAGAACTAATTTACAAGGAAATGCGAGGCAGATGGAAGGGAGAATTTACAGTCAGATCTTACCTTCAGGTCAGGACTGCTGAGAAGATACTTGTTCAAGAAAACCATGGATATTGAGATCACCCTTGAAAAAAATTATAAAAACGCCAAAAAATATGTATAAACAACAGTACAATGAATGAAAAAATAAACAGGAAAAGCGAAACTGAAAATTTTCGCGGGTTGTAACGTGGCAGTTTTAGTTATGCTCATGATATTCAAATCAGACAGAATTAATTGTAACTTATCAGAATAACTTGAAAGAAATAATTCCTAAAGTATGTCTTGATTTTGACGTAAATCTTACCAATATAATGTTACAACAGTAGCAATCCGCACAGATTTCACAAAAACTGAGTCAGACATTTTCAGAGGTTTTGAATTTCGCCGCAAGTGGTGAGTAGATTTCATAAATAAAGACACGACTTCTTTCAGCGTGGAGTATCTATTCCGGGGAGTAACCTTGAACAGCGGAACACCGTACTGAACACGCGCGCAACTTTGCATAATCAACATGGCTGACTAAGACCGAATTAAGTTCCACAAGGCTGATTTTCGTAAAAATTTGTATATTTTTGTCTCGCAAAGATCTTTTTAAACAAAATGTGCAGTGTTCAAGAAGAAGATTTAGAGAATGTCCCATCTCAGCTACAGGGAAAGCAATCTAAAGAAGAATTTGGCGGTAGAAGAACGTGCATGAAGTGCGCTTCAAGCCTTGCAGTCGTGGTTGTTCGCCTCAACGATCCTTTGTGCAAGTCCTGTTTTCTGGCGTATTTTACGCACAAATTCCGTGCAACAATCGGAAAAGCGCGTGTGATACGGGCAGGAGAAAGGATTTTATTGGCATTTTCTGGAGGTCTGTCTTCGTCTGCAATGTTGCATTTAGTTTGTGAAGGTTTGAGTGGTGCGGCTCACAAAAAACTCCGATTCGAACCAGGGATCATTTTCATCGATGAAGGAGAAGTGCTGAAGCAAAGTGAAGAGGAGCGTTCTAGTTATATCGAACAGATTCGAGGCATAGTTTCAAGAGCAGAGTTTCCATTTCATCTGGTGAAGTTGGAGGACATTTTCTCCCGATCTGCACAAGATGATGCCAGTTGTTGCAAGAAGTCTGAAACGTCAGAAAAAGGTGAAAAATTAAAAAGCCTGTTTGACGCAATGCCATCAGTGACAGAAAAAGAAGACTTGCTGAAGATACTCCGTAACCAACTGTTGCTTACAGTGGCCAGGAAAGAAGGATATTCAAAAGTAATGGTTGCAGACTGTGCCTCCAGACTGTCAGTAAGGCTACTATCCAATGTATCTCAAGGGAGGGGTGGAGATTTGCCATTTGACACTGGCTTTAGTGATGATCGTCATGACGATGTCATATTTGTCAGACCAATGCGAGAATTTGTGACTAAGGAGATAGCTCTGTATAATTTCTTTAACAATGTCCAAGCTGTAGTTATACCAACACTGTCCACCATGAGCCATTCACACATCAGCATTGATCGTTTAACAGAAGAGTTTGTTAGTGGTCTTCAAGCTGATCTTCCTTTTACTGTCAGCACAATTTTTAGAACTGGTGATAAGCTATCTGTGAAGGAATCCCCTGATGATGTCGCTTCTTGTGCTCTTTGTGGCATTCCACTCAATGTGGATCCAACTCTGCTTTCCACCCTAACTGATGGTCTGAGTGCAGTGGAGCTCAATGTAGACAACAAAACTACTCCTAAGTCTGTGACTGAATCTTGTGGAAGCTGTGAAAGTGGATGTTCAAATTCTTTAGCTGAACAGCCACTAACCAGAGACAATATTCATGAAGCTTTATGTTATGGTTGCCGATTAACATTTAAAAATGTCAAGTTTAATCCGAGTGATTTTCCCTCATTTGTTATGGATGCTGCTAAGAAATCTCATCACAGAGCCCAGATGAAAGAACAGATCAAAGACTTTTTGTTGCATGATTGAATATACTTTACCTATCAGTGACAATCAGTTACTTCACAGGTATATTTTTTGTGCCAATATATAACAATTTTGGGGAGACCTCTGCTCGACAAATTATTTTTTAAGTCTACTATCTCTGAGTGTGAGACAAGCATAAAAGTTTGTGTTTAGACTACAAGCAGTCCTCCCTTTCAGTAAAGTCTGACATAAGTAAGAAAAAATCAGCCCAAAAAAACAGGTTGATGTTAGCACCCCACGCGGGATTCGTGGGGTAAGGCCCACATAAGGTGTAGTTCCTTGCTGCATGCTAACATCAATTTTTTTTTTTTTTCACTGATTTTTTTTTTTTTCATTTTTAACTCTTTAACTCCCATGAGTGCCCAAGACAGAATTTCTCCTTACAATATCAATACAATATCAACTAGATAAGTGATGAGAATAAAGACAAATATAAATTTGGGGATAAGTAGTTGATCCAATACTAAATTCTCTGAACTAATATTATAAGAATTGTATGGTTGACAGTAAGAAGAATTATAAATTTGACCTGGGAGGGAAAGGGTTAACTCATGGGATTAAATTTTCCCAATAGGAGGGACTGCCGATTGTCCAGTCTGTGTACAATTTGAATGTTGTTTTGATGGGTTTTATTGAATAGGAAGTATCCCATGGCATCCCATGCAATGATCTGCTTTACAGATATCCCAAAGTAAAAATGAATTTATCGTTTTTGATTGAAGCAGGGTGATTGTAGGGAGATCTTTGAATATTCAAGTCATTGAATTATGAAAAAGAAAAATCATTATCTCCAGACTCTTGTTTGTTGATCTTCATCTTCTTGAAAAAAAAATGAAGATAACACTTGACATTAGCAAAGGGATAAGCAAAGTATAACCACCAAAATCACTGGATTGTGCTTGAAGTATCGAGCAGATATCTGATGGACACAAGCCAATCACAGCTGAGCATGTTGTATTCCACTGTTTGACCCTGATCTTTGAGATACATTTAGTGGATTTTGCAATTTGAAACGACCATGGGGAAAAAAAAATATATATATACATATATAAATATAAAATAAAAATAGGTACGCAATGCGTACATCTGTCTACAGATAACACCAGGCACTATCAACGGATGGGCAAACGATAATCACCAAACACACACACGCAAATTAATCACAACTGAGCATGTTATACTCAATCGTTTGACCATACTCTTTGAGATCCAGTTGGTGGATTTTGCAATTTGTGACCCACTCTGAAAAATCAACTACATGGGTCACAGGCATCCCATGCAATGATCTGCTTTACAGATATCCTAAAGTAAAAACGCATTTATCGTTTTTGATTGAAGCAGGGTGATTGTAGGGAGATCTTTGATATAATTTTTACACAAATCACATTTTAAGGTTTGTAATCATTCTTCAGTGTTGCTCCGCAAAGTAAAGAATTAAACACCTCTCTTTTAGAAAGAAATGAAGGGATTTTGCAGAATAAGACATGCATCTCTAAAACCAAAACAATTACCAGCCAGTCAATCAATTTTCTTTTTTGACGAAAAGTGATAGACTTATTGAGAAAGAAGGAGAAAACTGGAAGCTTACACAACATTTATGTAGTCCATGGCTAAGACCACTGACCGCTACTTACTGTCTGCTTGAAGAGTAACTTGTGGCATCCGAAAACATGACTAAATTGACAGAATGGATCATCATTGCTGGAGTAGCCCTTTCGCTCTGGATTACCCCATTAACAGATATCCTACCGCTTAAAGTATCCTACAAAGCCAAGGAAGTAATATGGCCGGTAATCACGGGAACATTTTACGAAAGAGTATCGGGTTTTCACTCGATGAAGCAAGACCTTTGAATTGTGGCTAACAGCGAACATATTTTTCTCATATTTGCTTTTGTTTATCCTTTGCAGATGCCAATTTATGCTCTAATTGTATTTGGGGTGAGTTAATATGTTATGCGCTTCTTACCGAGTTTATATTTGTCCGTAGGTTATGTTAGAATTATATATATTTTTTCCTGTTACAGTTTTATTGATTTGAGTTCTTGTTTTTCCCTTCAGTGTTATTCTTTGGCAACTATTGGATATCGAGTAGCAACTTTCAATGATTGTGTAGAAGCCTCTGAATCTTTAAAACAGGTAAGGAGCTCGAATTGTCCTATTTTCCAAGTTTCTGCCCTATTTGCAAGGTTCTGGTTTTGAATTTTTACCAAGTTGCTTTTGTAACCAAGGAGACTTGTTACTTCAACATTATATGGTGAAAATGTGCATTGTTGACCTTCTACAAAGTCGATATGGCTAGACATTCGCCATTTAGACATTAGAAGCTTTTTTAAAAAATGATATATCTTTATATGTTGGAGAAAAGGATTTATTCCAAAAATTTGTCAAATGTAATCTCGAGTTTGGTTCTGGGTTTTTCATTACAGACTTCAAACTTGGTTACAATCCCATTGCTTTAACTTTTTACAGGAGATAAATGATGCAAGACAGGACTTGTCAAAAAAAGGATTCAAGTTTGACTGAAGATATCAGCAGAAAGAAATAAAAAATTCCTACATTTAGCTAGAAATTTATTAGGATTTTAACTTCTGGAAACTTTAACTATATGAAACATGTTAAATAACTTTCCCTTGTTGACCCTTTATATTCTTGCATCAATATGTATTTACTCCATACTACCTCCTACACATTTCCTATGTTACTGACAAGGAGAATTTGTGCAACAATCAACAGCTTCTTTTGTTGGTGATCATTTCTGTTATTCTTATGACTGTAATGTTTGATTCAGGTGTGATATTGTGAGGAGAAATTAGATGCTAGTCTCTCTGTGGGGCCAAAGAGCTACTGTGCTCATATTCATTTGGTAACTGTGCCTCAGTCCAGTTAGAAAGAAAAATCAGTCTAAAAACTGTCTATCTTGTAAATTATATCATTGATGACTATAGGAATGTGGAAAATAAATTCTTAATATTTTGGATATGTCATGATCTCTCTCTGTATAATTATGGCTGTGTCCTTGCTTTAGCTATGCTGTTATCCCTCAACTATTGTAGTCAAGACAGAGGAAAAAAGCTATTCACTGGTTCCTTACTGCCATCTGGTTAATTCAGGTTGTAGGGTGCCAGATTGCTGTGCTAGAGATCGAGGGTTTGTGTCCTTGACCAGATCAACACTCAGAGTCTTAAAATAACTGAGGACAGTGTGCTGCATTTGTTATGATCATGGCAAATAGTTAGACATTCTAGTCTTCTTGGATAAGGACCATAACCTGTAAGCCCTGACTCCTGCATTTTCTATGTACTGGTCAGTAGGGAATGTCAAAGAATCCATGCACATCCTGCATAGAGCAGGGAGTGTAGTTCTTGGTGTTGTAATCTGGCCTTGTTCTCAAGATTCCAAAACTTGGGGGCACTTGCAAAATTTCATTTAAAAAAAATTGTTAACTGACCAAAGTTCCCTACAAAGTGATGTAAAGTACATTTGAGGATATTAATATTGAGAATACCTTATATAAATGCTTCACTAACGTTATTGTCATTCCTTCATCCTGTGGAAGTTTTCTTACTGTGAAACTTGGAAAACCTTGAAACAATTTCAATTGTTTTTAGGACATTATAACAAATCTTAAAACTACAGTTTGTTTGCTAATGGCTGGTTTACTTCTTTCATTACGATCGGTAATTTTAACTTTTAATGAAAAGTTATTGTCAATCACTTTTGAGCTACCCAATCAGAGCGTGCGAGAAGCATTATTCATTTGTGTGGTGTCTGCTAAGTCGCAATAATAACTCACCTACCCCACCCATGAGAACTTTTTGTCCCATTCGCTCACGCAATTATATGGGTAACGTGACTTTTCGGAATATTTCAAAATGGCGGCCCTCTGCGCTATAATATTCTGCGTTACATTTCATAAGAAAATGAATTTTCGTTTTTAAATTACGCTATTTATAAGATTATGTCATGTACAGGTCTATATATCATTTGGCAAGCAAAGATAAGGGGGTTCTCCCCGTCCATGCTGGGGATATATTTGAATTTATTGAACAACATGATGAGAACTGGTGGCGGATGCGCGCACGAGATAGTTCAGTCGGACTCGTTCCTACCTGTTACCTGGAACCTGTCGATAATGAAACGGTGAGGGAAATAGTCAGAGTTTATTTAAGAAGTCGCATGAATTTAAAGGGTGCTTATTAAGTATCGTAGCTTGTTGAATTTTCCGGCCTCTTTGCAGAATTGATTTACCGGCGAAATGTTGATGGGCTGTAGAGCTAATTTTGTTTAGGCGAAGTAAATATTTTTCTCGTACTTTACAATACTCTCCTACCACATAAGTTGTTAATGAAAGCCCTGCAATCAGTAAAGTACGCTAACCCACAGTGTCTATGTTTGACTCGGCATCCAAAGAGAGCATTGGCTCGCAAATTTGCATTGGTCATGAGAGAAGTCCTGAAAAACACTGTTATCAGTGATTGATGTTATTTTTAGACAACCAAAGCGTTGATGACAACAGTGGCTTGCACACAGGTTTATGAAAGGCCAGTTATCTCAATGGGATACAGTTCTTTTCAGGACTTCTCACAACTGGACAATCAGACCAAGGTCATAGCAAAGAAAGGGGCTTAATATTTTTTCTAAGTGGAGTGAAACTGAGATAGGCACATAGTTTGAACTTTAAACTTTTATAGAAAGGCATAGTAATGTGAGATTTGGAGTTTTAAATTTTCAATGCTTGAAATACTGTTTAAAGTACACATGATACATGAATCTCTCTTAAATTCATGCATGAAACAAGATCAGGATCCCTATTTGGTACCCTCTAAATATGTTGGGGGAAAGCTGTAGAGAGTAAGAGGCTCCAGAGATGAAAGTCTGTTCGTTGTGTCATTACCTCTGTAATCAAAATCATCTTGATATGGCCTTGAAGACTACACAATTAGCACACTTACTTTGTCTGCTGTCTTAAGGCTGACCCAGGTGAAATACAAGCAGTGCTAGAGTCAGTAGACAGAGCTATAGAAGCCATCCATGCACAAGTGGCAGCTTCTGGTGGTTTTTATACTCATGAGCAAAGAGCTAATTTAAGGTGAGAATTGATAATACTATTAGGGATTTTGAGATGTCATTGGTGACTCAGTAATACAAAAGTTAATGTACTGGACTCTTTGTGGAGAGGTCCACGTTCAAGACCTGTTGGGTTGTTGCATTATGTTCTCGGTCAAGAGATACTTTACTGTCGCTTTCCTCTCACCACCCATGGCCCAGTTGTTGAATTTTAATCCAGGTTTCTCTATTTCTCTGTTCAAGAGCTTATTTGAATCGATTTTCCCTATTTTTTGTAGAGTATCCAGTAATCATATCATGGACAAAAAGAATTAAACCGAATTTTTCAGTTTAAAGCTTTCCAATCTAATAAAAGCATTTGTCGTGTAGTTTTCAGACCATGCAAAAGTTGTGATGATTTTTAAATATTGTCTTTCCTAGGATGGCTAGGAATTATGCAGAGTTTTAAAATGCACATGTTTATTCTGCTGCTGATTACATTTTTTTTTTCTTCACCACATTCTCATTGCTGTCACTGTTTTAGTTTTCTTAAATACCTAAGTAATATGACTAAGAAGGTTATTCTTACAGTACCTCTGTCCACCAAGTTGTTAACCCTGTAACTCCCAGATCAAATTTGTAATTCTCCGTACTGTCAACCATACAATTCTTATAATGTTAGTTCCAAGAATTTAATATTGGATCAACTAATTATCCCCAAATTGATATTTTTCTTTATTCTCATTACTTATTTGGTTGATATCGAATTGGTATTGTAAGGAGAAATTCTGTCTTGGTCACTCATAGAAGTCAAAGGGTTAAGGAATTATAACCCATCCATCAAATATACTGCAATTTTATCAGCTAATTTATGTCACATAGTACAAAATCACAGGATGCTTCAATGCTTGCCCTCTGTTTATTTCCATCAAAAAGAAACAAAGCCAGTAAGAAAAATAAGCTCAAGACTTTCACTTTTTGTCTTTGATATTTTAGGTGAAAGAAAAACAAGCTTATTTAAATCTGTAGAGTCCAGCAATTGGGATATTGATCAGATGGGTGTTTTAGAAAGTACAAAAATTCAGCAAAATAATTTGTGCAACATGAATAAGAAATGGTGGGCTATGAAATGAATAAACCCCTTTCTGGATTGCTGAATTACGTCTCCTGATAATGACCATGGCTGAGAAACTGTTCCCAGAATTTCACATTTGCTTTTGAAGGTTAAATATTCATTTTTCCAACAATCTCTCAGTGGTAGACACTATCAACTGACATACTAACCACCTGAAGGGGTTTATTTACTATATAAAATGAATCTTATAGGTACATTGGCTGCACAAGATTTTGTGGGAAAAAAGTATAAACTAATTGAAACAATGTACTCCTTTTTAAGAAAATTACTTGAGCACCGAAATCGAATTAATTCAAGAGACAAGGCTGATCTACCAGCACAGCCACGACGCCCTGCTCCAGCACCTCCATCTGGTAAGGATAAGAATAAAAAGAAGAAGGAAACAACAAAGAGAAGGCCAGCTCCTGCAGCTCCAACCACTTCTGCTTCAACATGGGATACTGCAGTGAAAGGTTTGGAGGTCTATGATCAAACTATGACTTCTGTCTGTTTGTTATACATTTTTGCACAATAACCTTGGAGACTTTACCAGCTCATCAACTTGGTAAAAACACTTATCACTTACACCCTGAGATCACTATTCATGTTCTCTTTAGTGTCCTCTATGCATTTGCTACATGTTGTTTAACAATCAAGAGTTTCTTTAGTTAGTAATCATTTCTGTTATTCTTGTGGCCGCAATGTTTGTTGTAAGGAGAGTTTCAATGCTAGTGACCCTTAGGGGTCAAAAGGTTAATGGGAGTATTCCTATTGCATGTTGGAGATAATGAATATGTTATGCACATGCTTGTGATTAAAAATTTACTTAGATTTTGTGTTCAAATTTTTATGTGTGTCATGTTTTTTTAGACCAAGTGCCTGCAAAAGCAAGGGAATCTACTCCACCTCCAGCTATCCCTGAAAGACCTGATCTTGAGTCTGTCACAATACGACCTGGAATTGCTGCAGAGCTGTTAGAACTCCTTAGAATGAAGTAAGAAAATAAATGAAGGTTTAACTTCTGTTTCAAGGGTCAATAACACAAAACTGATCAATCCAATTAGAGAAAAAAAGAAGTAAATAGTTTCTGAAGTCTTTGTTATCTCTGCTTGCTTGAGTCCTAAGCAGTGGTTGATACCATTGGGTGTGGTTGGTAAGATTGCTGCTTTCCCATGGTGTGATTAGTCGATTAAAATGTTTAATGGGATTGAACTTATCTAATCACTGTTTGCAGCACTGGGTTGAGTTATGACAAGTCTTCTGTGGCTGTCCATACAGTCTTATCACACATTCATTACTCTGTACCATCAACTTCCAATGTTATGGCACAACTGATTCAAGATCTTGAACATCAGAAGGTCAGTAAAATGAAACTTTGTGGCCCAGGCTGGTTACAAAGTTATGCTTAGTTGAGACACTAAATGGTATTTATGTGAAGAAGCACCATAATGGCATTATTCACTGCGATGTGAACGTGAATTCCAAGGATGATCCTAGAAATGTGTGGATGACAGCGAAAGAAACTGTGGTGTTTCATCGGTAGTAGAGTATAATGGGGTAATTTAGTATGATCAACTGAGTTGATAATGTCAATTAGCCGCTGTAAAGAGTATCAAAGCTGACATTTTGAGCTCTGACAAAGGCCCAATGCTTGAAATGTCAGCTTTGAAACTCTTTACAGTGGACAATTTATGTTATCAACTCAGTTGATAGTACTTAATTATCCTAATAGATATTTGAGCCTATGCAGCAAGATTAGTTTAGAAACATATAGTGAGCCCATCACTTGTTTCTTTAGGAAAGCAGAGTTTACTCCTTATTTGCAGGCTGCGCTGGATTTTCCTCAGAATACAATAAACAAAAACCTTGTCTGAATTGCTCCTGCATTTTGGGATATATGGTCTCTTGTAAAGACTAATGATTTTGACTTTTACAATTAAGTGACCTTTTAAAACTATCTCTTGTTATTTGTCCATTTTACCCCTTAACTCCCATGAGTTAAGGGGTGAAATGGAAAAATTAAATTATTTCCTTTCATCTTATTGGCTTTACCACCTAATGGTTTATTTATTTACCCTTTTATGCTTAACAGTTAACCCCAATGAGACCCTCTAATTTGTGTTCATGAAATATCTTATATTTAACTAAAGGAAGACTTATAAAATAACAGCATCTGCTTGAACTAAATTATAAATCCTTTTGCCTTATTGGCTTGACCAGGAGTCTCGCACTGAAGATGAGGAGGCTCTTCTTCAGTCCAATGATGGCCAGCAACTTATCGCAATTCTTGATGAGCTGACAGAACACAAGGAAGACTCGCAGCAAAGAAGCTGGGCTGTTCATGATGATGAAGGGATACTTCATAAACTGCTGAAAAATCTTCACAGTATTCTGGTTGGTCAAGTTTCATTGTGTGACATAAAGTGTTATCAATCCTTCAACTCTTGAACCCTTAAAGCTTTAATTCCCAGATGTGATTAACATGAAACTTCTCCCTATAATATCTATACATTATTCAGCAAACAGGTATTGAGAATATTCAATCTTAACAGGTAGAAGCTGCTATCTTGATCTAGCACTAAGTTCTCATAACTAATTTACAAGGAAATATATAGCAGCTGGAGGGGAGAATTACCAATCAGATCTTGGGAGTTATAGGGTTAACAGTGACTAGCATCTTATTTTTCCTCACAATATCACCCCTGAATCATTACTTAATAACACAGCTAGTGTTTGAAGCATTTTTTGTTAAATTAAAAACCCAAAGAATATCTGAAACAATCTAAAAGACTGCTCAAAATGGTTCAAATTCTTTGATGAATGGTGTCTCCCACACTTTTTTGTTTCTATCCAGGACTAAAAAAAAATTTCTCAGATGATGTGATCTCTTATCAACATGTAAGGTTACCACAACAACACTACAGCTATGTGTGATTTAACTAAAAAATGGGTTTGGAAGCCCCTTTGTTTAACCCATTAAATCCCAGGAGTGGCTGCCACCAAATTTCTCCTTACAGCATCATCCCTGAATTAAATATTAAATTCATGAGAATAAAGGAAATGATCACCATCTAAAGAAGCTCTTGATTGTTACACAAATTCTCCCAGTCAGCACATTAGGAAATGTTTAGAGAACAGTATGGAGAATATGCATCCTGATGTTAAGGTGTAGAGGGTTAATTTTTTAAATTATTATAATTATTAACAGCATACAAAATTTATTTGTCTAAAAATATGTACATGCCATTCAGAGCTCTCTTAACTGGTTGACATTTTCATGCCCCATTTACATGGATATAATAGTTTGATAATTATGAAGTAACATTACAGGTGTATTCACTTCCTACAGTAGGTACAATCGACAGAGATTTGACACCATGTTTTTCATCAGCTGGTGCTCAGTTAGGTTAGTTTAAACTCACTTGACTAAACGTCAGCTCATGAAATCATGAGTAAAATGCCAAGGAGAATTTTGAAAAACAAACCAAAAACAAACATGAGAACATGGAATCATCTCTTAACTTCACTTTTCCTAAACAGGACCTGGAAAAAATGAAAAAGTCTTGTGAATCTGTGTTGTTTTTGTAGCTCGATGCTGATCCAGCAGTGTGTCGAACTGTTTTCAAGCTTGATGATTATGACTATGTCAACATGCTTGTTGTTTACTTTCAAATGGTGAGTATATATTACTGCGATGTGAAGCACATTATACAGTCTTCAATAGTTAGAAAGCCCTCAACTGCCCAAGTAGACTACAAGCAGTACCTCTTTTTCAGTATAGTCCATATGATTTAGAGATCTTCGCAGTAATGAACACCACTTTGACAATTCAAATATATTACTTTCATATACTCACAGTCATTTATTCGCTACTTCATGGGTTTATTTGGAACCAGTTTGACCAGTTCCCAATTGGCTTGTTAGCTTGGGTGGTAGAGCACTGCACTGGTATTGCAGAGGTCATAGGTTCAAATCCCGTACAGGCCTGAATTTTTTTCAGGCCTTATTTTCACTACTGCTCAAGTAGTGTTCATTACTGGGAGGATTACTTTCATATTCACATCTTTATCCACAGTTCAAATATATGACTTTCATGTATTCACAGTCGTTTATCGTCCATTGTGTGAGGAAAAAAAAGTCAGTGAAAAAAGTTGATTTCAGTGCACTGCATGAAGATTTGGGGGAGCTAGAATAGAAGCAATCACCTTACTCAATTTTTTTTTACTTATGCACTGGACTTTTCCCAAAAGCCAGGTTTTTCATTTTTCGTTTTTGGGTTTGAGACCTGTTTGGCTCATTAGGTTGTGTTCTTCGGTAAGACACTTTACTCTCACAAGGTATCTCTTCTCCCAGGAGTAGGAATGGGTACCAGTGAACTGTTATGGTAGCCTGAAAAAAGGTTGGGAGGTGCTTTAGCACACTATAGAGTCCTCTTCACCTTAGTCATAGAACAGAGGTTGGAATCTAAAGATCTGAGGTTGGATACCTCATGGAGATTTTTTTCATGCCTATGACAAAGACAGAATGTCTCCTTCTGATAATGATACAATACCAAGCAATCAAGTAATGTTTCATGTTATGACAAGACAAAAAAAATATCTTTCTTAATTGATCATTGTTGACCTAGAGATTAGTAATTAACTATTGCCCTAGGGGTGGGGTTGGGGGATTTTGGTCGTGTCAAAATAAAATTTACCTTATTCCCCACCCCCCCCCCCCAGGCTCTTTAGTATTCTAATGCTCCCTTATCATTGGCAGTCAATTTCTATAGCAGTCCCCCCCCCCACCCACCCTTATCAACTCTGTTAGCAACAATTGGTTCCCCCTCCCTTACCTCTGAAAATCATGTAATTCCCTTTAAATCCTTGGACAATCCCTTTTCCCCTCAGGTGCAAAATAATGACTAGTACCTGCTCACCAAATTCTTAGCACTAGCATTATAGGGAATGTACAACTGATATTTAGGAGAATTGATTATTAGATTTTGAGTTTAAAGAGGTTGAATGTAACATGTACTTAAAAGTTCAAAGCTCATTTGTTCTCTTTTACTTCAAGGAAGAGAGACAATCACTGCGCCAACTTTTAGTTGAAATTTTTGGTTGTTTGTGTGGCTTGAAGAAGGAAATTCTCTCCCAGCTCCTCTGTTCTGTCTTGCCTTCAGAACTGGCAATGGAGATTATGAAGAGGAAAGAAGGTAAAAAAAATTCAGGACATCACAACTTTGATTGATATCTCAAGAAAGTTCATATTGTAATGCCTGCACTTTTAAACTTTTTGACACCTGAGAGTGGCTAGCATCTAATTTCTCAGTACAATATCACCTCCTAATCAAACAGTAAGGTCATGAGAATAAAGGAAATGATCACATACTAGAGAAGCCCTCTATTGTTTTAAGAAATTCTCCTTGTCAGCACCTGAATGCAGAAAGAACAGTATGGAGAATGTGCATACTGATGTTAGGGTGGAAAGGGTTAAGACTCCACCCAAAAATATTTTTACCCAGAGAATGTTTGATGTACAGAGCAAATTAGAGAAATTTAAAAAAAAGAGGATGGACACTCATGCACAGAAAGATAGATATTGATGCACTTGCAGATTGAAAGACCTTTAGACATTGGTATACTGACAGATTAACACAGGCAGACAGACGGGCACATATATAATTTTGGTTTTATCAAATGAGTTGATAATGTTAATTGGCCACAGTAAATAATTTTAAAGCTTCCCCACTGACTTTCTATCTGTTTGTGTATCTGTCTGTCTGTCTCTCTGCCTGTCTGTCTGTCTGAATAAAGGTGTAAGTTTCTAAAGAAACTGTGGTGCTGCGTCGGTGGGAGAGTATAGCAGGTAATTTAGTGTCATCGACTGAGTTTAAAACGTAAATTAGCCACCGTAAAGGGTAAAAAAGCTGCCGTTTCGAGCGTTAGCCCTTCGTCAGAGCGATCACGACGACTCAGTTCAACTCAGTTGTTAACACTAAATTACCTGTCTGTCTGTCTGTATGCCTGTCTCTCTGCCTGTTTGTCTGTCTGTATGTCTGCCTGCCTGTCTGTCTGCCTGTTTGTCTGTCTGCTTGCCTGCCTGCTGTCCGTCAGACTGACTTTCTGATCGTCTGTTTGGCTATCTGCTTACTATATATGTGCATATCTATGTATTTGCCTAAAGGGGGTAAGTTTCTAAAGAAACTGTGATTCTGTGATAGTGGGGGAGTATAACAAGATAATTTTGTTTTATTAACTGAGTTGATAATGTAAATTATCATTGTAAAGTGTTTTAAAGTTGACGTTTCGAGCGTTAGCCCTTCGTCCGAGCAAAAGACTAATAGACCCCCCATTAGGCATGCGCAAGGGAAAGACCAATAGACGGACCAACTGACCGACTTACCATAAGGCAGGGAAGTAGTCAAACAAAGGATCAAACACGCGGTTCTGATACTTTGCTTCATGATATTTGAGTGGTGAGAGGAGATAAATCAAAGAATATAGAATCTAGAGTTAGACATGCCATCAACAAGCCCGCCTCACCGGTTTGCTTAAAAGAAGTCGGTAACCAACTCATTTTTGATGTGGATCTTGCAGGTGCTTCAATGCAGCGTCACTGTGCAATATTAATGACAATGATTTTTTCAACTGGAGAATCTGTTCCATATACCGTTTATGGTGAGTCCTGTCCTCGCTTCCCTTATTTCATTGGTCGTGTAGTCATATCATACTGCTGAATGTAACACTGCGGTCAAACGTCGGGCATGTGCGAGGGGGTCAGCTTTGGTCGGCCGATTCGGCACGCCAATTTTCCACGCAAATTTTTAAAGGGAACATAAGGTATAACCGCTGTTACGAAAATATGCAAAACAATTAGGAAACTTCATAGATATTTGAAAAGGACAGAAAATCAGTTAAATGGAAAACTCGAGCATTTTCGGAAATAAATCAAATTCAATTACAGGTGTCCTGTTAATTTACCATTCTTTTCTCAGCTTTATTAGTCCCACAGCCCAGTTATTAGGGTGGCTCGTGAGTCGATGTTCAGCCATGTGGTAGTTTTTTTTTTATTATACTTCATCCGGGGCCGTTTATTTTCATTCATCCTTTTTACATTTTACTCGTTTGTCAGACTTTCTCTCTATTTGAGTTATGTTTAAAACAGTTTTTTTTTCCTGTGATCATCAGACCAAGTAAATGATTCGTTTGTGGAGTTTTTGATTGATGCCATTGAAACATCTGAACATGAGGAAGAATTTATGGAGGCTTTTACACCTCTTATCCTGGCATTTAACCACCACTTTGTAGGTAAGGAAAGGCTGACCAATGTCAGTGTATATGCAACTGCGCACCTAACTCTCCCCTTACCTAACATTAACTCTAACTTGTCATCAGTTGACTGTTGTTGGGTTACGGGAGGGGTAGGTGTGTAGTTGCTCAGATACTGACATTGGTCCGGAAAGTCCATTTTACTACAGGCACTTGTTAGTGTGCAAAGGACGTGTGGATGCAGTGTTGAACCTGAGAATTTAAAATGAGGAAACGTATTGTAAGATCACAAGCTCGTTTACACGGTTTTCATCAAGAAATGTAGCAGTGAGAGAATGGTGTCAAATCTTCACGTCGAAATGATAATTGCTCAAGCTTCGTTAGGGACTAGTCATATATATCGCCTGGTGGGGAGGGGTGAGTGGGAGGATGTTTGGTGGGTCACATGGTTTTTAAGGGGAACAGAGGCGGAATCATTCGTCGCTGACCGAGTAAAAAGGGGGGGATATGAAAAATTAATTGCCATTGAGGGTTGAGGAGCAATCGTTAGAATACTACATAGCCTTGAGAGGGGGGGGGGGGGGGCAGGGGGAGATTTATGGTGGGTCACACGGTTTTTTAAGGGGAACAGAGGGGGAATCATTCGTCGCTGGCAGAGTATAAAGAGGAGGGATATGAAAAATTGAGTGGTAATGAGGGGGCATCGTTAGAATACTACATAGCCTAGGTGGGTGGGAAGGGGAGAAAATAAGGTATATTTTATTATAAACACAACTAAATTTCTTCGATGAGTAATGACCAGGGCCTAGTTGTTCGGAGCTGAGTAGCGCTAACGCAGGGTTAAAATTTAATCCAGGTTTCTTTATCCTTTTGTTTTAAAGTCTTTCTTGGATAATTTTCTCTCTTCTTTGAAGAGCAACCAGTCATCAAATTGTAGACAAAAATAATTATACTGAATTTTCTTTTAAAGCCTTCAGATCTTAAACTGCATTTCATACTAACCCTGAGTTATCTTAACACTGCTTTGAACAACGAGGCCCAGAAGACCCCACGGTGAAAACACGCGTGTAAAACAAACAAACAAAAAATCAAAACGAAACAAAACAAACTTTAAAACTGCTATGAACATTCAAATGATTTTCTACGGACTGAAAACGAACAATAGCCGACTAAGAATAACTCCTACTCTTTCAGTCAAAGTATTTTCTTTTAGTGCGAGCTAGTTGCTTTTTTCTCACCTGCAGATGTTCAGAGTAACATTGTAATGAGGGTACTAGCATCCCGCAGCGCTGCCAAGACACTGAGCGAGAAGATCGTGTTACTTCTCAACAGAGAAGGTTGGTCAGAAGTAGCAACAGAATGTATTATTAGTCTTCCTGATCTTCGGATGCATTTTTCACAGGTTGTCGAGCGGTTTGGAACGTGGGGGGAGGGGGTTGGGGGCATATTGTACACCAAGCTCTGTGTTCGAAAAGTTTCGAGTTCCCTTTCCCCTACTTTTGTTTCCTTGAACAGATTTTCATAAATGTTTTAATTTCTTCCCGCATAGTTTCCGTTATAGCAATTATTTCCTATGTTTTCCTTTGAAATTTTGCGAGAAAAATATGTCATACAGGCACGGCCGAGTAAAATTGATTCCCTTGTGCATGTCCGACGTTTGGCCGCTATGTTGCATATACCCTACTCATATTTTCCAAAGTGTTTTTTGCGTAGTTCGTTGGCACAAGGAAACGTCTTTACAATCTGAATTGTGTCCAGTGTCCGCAATCGATATGTAACCATGCATACGTGAGGTAGAAGTTCGGAAAAAAAGTCGTTCAAAATGTTCTTTCTCGTAGTGCGATCATGGCGAAAGATTAAGTGAAAACATTTCGAGAATTAAGTTACCCCGAGCCAACTTTTTGCGGCGTTAGTCATACCTTCTGCATCGAATCTACCTAAGCTAGATAGTCTTTTAGTACCTGTTCATACTTCACTTCGCTCTGACGAAGGGCCAACGCTCGAAACGTCAGCTTTTAAAATCTTAACGGTAACCAATTTACGTTATCAACTCAGCTGATAAGACCAAATTACATTGTTTATCTCCAGGGGGTTTGTCTACTGAGAAAGCGATGCAAAGAAGCGCTAAATCCATTTTATGGCTGCTCAATTTCAGTCACTAAATGCACACCTGTTACCACAATACTTTTTTCGTTAAGTGATACATGTGACGATGGAGTTCGACCGACACTTTCCTGAAAACAGCAATCTTATCCGTATTGGTTTGGGCTTATCCCCGTAAAATGAAAACAAGCGGTAGGAATGATGATTTTAGATATATGAAAATTCATATATTTGCACTGCGGTGGAGAGATGAAATTAAGAGATCCTCGCAGCTAAGAACACAACTGAAACGAGTAGTTGTAAATAGGACCTGTTAGTTAGTTAGGATGTTTATTTGGACCCAATTCATTGACCAGCTCCCAGTTGGCTTGTTAGCTCAATTGGTAGAGCGCTGCACCGGTATCGCAGAGGTCATGGGATTCAAATCCCGTACGGGCCTGAATTTTTTTCAGGTCCTATTTACAACTACTCTTTTCAGTAGTGTTCTTAACTGCGAAGCGGTAGGAATTTTAAAAATGTCCCATTTTGTTTCGACAGTGTTACTATGGAAATATTATTGTTCCCATTCCCTTGCACGCGTAACTTTCTCGTGTGTTACAAGCATGCGTACTCATTTTGCTGCTGTGTCGCGCCAGCGCGTGTTCCCGATGCTGTGTTAAATAAAAGACGCGAACTATTTACAGAAGCATTTCACAGCTTATCTGAGCTGTGTTCGTATAAATGGCCCAATTTGCGTTAGGTAGTCTTCGGCTTGCCCAAGGTGCGGCATTTCACAGCTTATCTGAGCTGTGTTCGTATAAATGGCCCAATTTGCGTTAGGTAGTCTTCGGCTTGCCCAAGGTGCGGATTATTTTCCTCCTATAAACGGCCCAAATCACACGGTGAAAGCTGAGTGTCTTAAACTGCCAAGACCACCACTCGATGACCCAACCAAGGCTATACTATGGACTACTCCAATCTACCGAGACCAACGCCTTAATTGCTACTTATTTCATCTCCAACGTAAAAACGACAATGATTCTTGTTATTCTTGTTTTACAGAGGATCCCACTGCCTTGTTTCAGTATCCTCGTAGTTCTCCTGACGCAGTGCTCAAGTTTGTTACGGACATCTTTTCATCTCGCGACACTTCAGAGTTTTTTTACGCTTTAGACATGAAAGTCCTGATAGAGATTGTCCTACGACAGATGGCGGATCTTTCTCCTGGGGCAGGGGTCGGTTTATATCTATCAGCTTTATATCTATCCTTTTATATCTTTATATCTATCCTTCTAATAATCCATCAAATAATTTTGCTCGCGCAAGATTGCTCCAAACTTATCACGTGACCGAATATTCCCTAGTTAAAACTGGGGAATATCCGGTGATAAACCCCAGTGATTTACTTCCAAAACGGTTAAAGTCTTTGTTTAGAATTTAATTTAAGATGAGAGTGTCCAGCTGTTTTTATAGAAAAGGGAAATGTTTGCTCGTTCAAAACTTCTTGTTAGAGAATACTAAATAGTAAACATCCCACACAGCAAAGAGTAAGCTGTTCGTAGACATTTCTTCCTGCTTGTTGCAAAATTTTTGAAGGATACTAAACCCAGAAGCCTCTATTTGGCACGAAAATATGCTCGGATGTTTGTCCATGGACATTATCTGTTTCTCGTACCTCACAGTTTTTCGCGAGCTTTGCAAACTGAAAAGTGGTCACATATTCATGCCAATTTTCGCGCGAAACGTTGTCTCGTATTTTCCCTTACTCGAGACAAGTAATAAACTTCTCTCCGAGACTGGCTTGAACTTCAAATTCATCAGTTAAAACACAATGAAAGGAATTACACGCGCGCTTTGCTTTGCTCCGTGATTGGTCTAGATAGCTCGTGCCATTGTTTCAGCCAATCAGATGAAAAGCCACAACCAATGGCGAATTGGTCACCCGCGTTTTCCCGCGCTTCAGCAGTTTGTATATTTTTGCTTTGTGCTCTCATTGGCTCCTTGAGATATTTGTCCTCTGGTTGGCCCTTTGATTTCTTTTGTTTTTGGTTTGCATAGGCATAATCATAAAAATTTCACCTTTTTTATTGTATTTTTGGCAATCCCACCATGTTAAAAGACCTTAAATAGTAGAGAATTTGGTTTTTATCAACTGAGTTAATAACGTGAGTTGGCCACAGTAGTGAGTTTCTTAAGCTGACTTATCAAGTGTTAGTCCTTCGTCAGAGCGAAAGACGAAGGGCTGACGCTAGAGACGTGAGTTTTATAAACTCTGTACGTTCTCCAATTTACCCTCTCAACACAGTTAATAAAGCCAAGTTGTCTTGTCACACCTTTACCGACGCACAGTTTCTTTAAAACCCCGCTCCTTTCATTCATTTGTCTTAGAAAGTAGACCTGAGTATCGCAACTGAGACGATTTTATTTTTTTTCCTACAGATGAGAACGGAATACATATCATTACTACATCAAATCCTGTTGAATTCTAATTACAGTGAATACAAACATCAGGCTAGTGAACTCCTCACTTGTCTGAAGAGAATCAGCAAGGAAGATGGAAAAGAAAGCGAACAAGACAGACTCATCGCACAAGAAATACTCAAAGACTCGTCAAAATATTTTTAATTTTCAGTTGAGGGTCGGGAGTAATACGGTATCGCTCGGATTTTGTTTAATCTTCGCTCTATGATTGGTCCACACAACTCACGTCACCCTCTCGACCAATCAGATGCAAGAGTGAGGTCAATTTCGTTTTTACTTCCCACATTTTCCCACGCAAGCCTTAACTTTGAGTTCTGAGTGGTTCCTTGAAATATCTGTCTTTGCTCTTATTGATCTTTAAGAACATTTTGGTTGTGGCTTTACGATTACTTACCGAGGTGTCCTTGAAATGAAATTAAACCCTTAAGCTTATTCCAAATAATTTGTGTATATTATGCCGCATTGTTTCAAATTATAACTAAAAGCCCACGAACAGAGCATTCTGTAGAGAGACTTGCTCCTTTTACAAACAGATGTTTTAAACTTATTGAAAATATTTTGAAGAGAGGCTACCACTTTTAAAAAGAAATACAGCTTTAGAAATAACAACACATCCGTTTGACTTTGGTTTACGCTTTTTTCAAGGACCGGTTATTGTTTATCACTGGGGAAGGGAGGGGGGAGTGGTTGGAGTATTTTGGTTGTGTCAATGAAATTAGACCGATCTCCCTTACGGCTCTGTAGTATTATGATCCTCAACCCACCCACCAGTCAGCAGCACCAGTCAGCAGCACCAGTCAGCAGCACCAGTCAGCAGGTATGACCTGGTCCAAGAGTTCTTCCTCACTCACAGCTTGTACTAGGGGTATTGTCATGAACTACAGAGTAACACATGAAGAGGCAGCTTCCAACAAAGAGTTATAAAACTTCTCTTGGAATGATTGGGGAAGAGATCACGGAGGCTTTGAGTCATGAGGTTTCTGATAATCCTTAGATTTTTTTTCATAATCTGATTTTTGCCATTTAACATCTTCCATTTGTACAGCATTTTCTGTAATTCGTTTCAGTTCCACCCAAAGGCAAGACTATACGGTGCAAGTCTCCAGCTCCTTTCTTCCGATAGTTGCTCCCAAATCGAACAGAGCAGCAGCTGTATGTCCACATGCACTATCAGCAGTATTAAAGGAAACGAAATGAGAGGGCATTAGTCTCTTTTACTTTAGAGAGTCAGCTCATTCGCAGAGAAACCAAACATAACATATAAATAAATTGGAAACCATAGGTTCGTTCGCCTGTAGAGAAAAGGAAAAAAACAGCACACACAAGTGACTTACCCGCCCGGCTTTGAGGCTAACAAGGAGAATTTGATGAACAATCAAGAGCTGCTTTAGTTGGTGATCATCTAATCTATTCTCATAACTTTCATGTTTGATTCAGGGGTGATACGATAAGGAGAATTAGATGCCAGTCACTCTTTGGGGCTAGCAAAGCCTCGGTTGAAGTCAGAAAGCTTAGGTTTGTTTTCAGCCATAACTCACATCGCGTTTGGGAATGAATTATCGTCAACTCCAAAACTAATTTCGTCGCTTGAAAGAACTACATGCTCATTGTTTTTCGAAACGACTATTACCTGGCATGTTTTATTTTCATTTTGAGCTTCAAAAGGTCGATCTCAATCGGGATAGAGCGGGGAAGAAGTCTTGAAAGTTTTTAAAACTCACGCCTAAATTCAACGGGAACTTTCAGCCGAAGTGAAATTGCACAAGTCATGTGATAGATGCACGGCCGTGCAATGCCTAAGGATTTTTAACACGGTAGCTCCTTAGGAAATAGGTAGGCCTTGCGCGTGCGCTATGCTATAATAATTTATGCTAACGACGATTATCTACAACGCATCTGAAGAGACGTGATTTAGATTCATTGACCCACTTTTATTATTATTTTTATCACGTAAGTGCAAAAGCAAAAACCCACATTTAAAATCCCCATTACTGAAGTTAGAGCATGATCATCGCTTTACGTCGCATGCAGCTTTTTCCTTGAACAGAGCAGTTTAGCTTCTTTATTGAACGAAGATGTATCCGAAAGCCTTGATATTTTTGTCTCCGTTTTCCGCACTCCACGAGGCTCCGTTTTCGCACGCATTTTCGAATTCTGACCCTCCTCCACCAAATCCGATTCTGGAATCAGGAAAGTTGCAATCTCCTTCTTGATCAGCAATGATTTCGATTCGAACTCCCGAGGTTATTTGACTTAGGGAAAAACCTATTGAAAATTTTTCACGGATGTGTTTTTTTTTCCTTTTTTTCAGGCGCGATCCTATAACAGCGTCGAGAAAGTTGATACATGATGTTTTCCCTTTTTTCTGAGCTTCTTGTTTTGCATAAATAATTTTTTCTTGCAAAAAAATTTCTGTGTATTTGCCACCCTCTCTCGCCACACACACAAATTTAGCGATTGTTCTTTACAGGAACGTGACCGCTGCCCTGAAGAGACCATGAGAACAACTTGTTGTGACGTTAATCGTTAGAGGTAGATCCAGCCTTAACATTACGTTTCCTGATTATTGTTTACATGTTGTTTCCTTATCGCTCTGACGAAGGGCTAACGCTCTAAACATCGGCTTTTAAACTCTATACGATGGGCAATTTACGTTATCAACTTAGTTGACAATACTAAATTACCCTGTTATACTCCGGCTCACGACGCAGCATCACAGTTTCACCACCGTTTTGTCCTGTGGCTTACAATAACGGAGGCTATGGAAAATAAATTAAGAGGAAAAATCTGTGAAAATAATTTCGAATGACGTTTCGGTGCATAGCTTGATGTAAACACGCGAGAGGTTGGGAGAACACGAGATAAGCGTAGGAAAGAGTGTTCTCCCAACCTCCCAAGTGTTTACATCAGGCTATGTAAACACGGAAACCATTTTACATTTCTTTTATAAAATAACTAATGAAAGAGGAACGAAAACCGTGTTTACATACGCTCATGTAAAATGGTTTTATGGCCAATCAGAGCGCGCGTACTATTTTAATTATTTTATAATTAATATTGCCTCATGTAACGTTATTACAAAAAAAAAAAGACATCCCCTACCTAGTGAAGTTACCTTGTTCAGTTTTAGAAGTGGTCTGCCTCAAAATACGAAAGTCTTAATACTTAATGCATTTTATATACACTTTAGATCAATTAAAATGCTGTGTGCACACTCGCCTAATATTCAACGCCTGATACATCACTTTTCCAAGCGTAAGTTAAAACATGACTCATTTGACATGAACAATGGAAAAAGTTGTCATAATGGCCAATTTTAAACTTCAAATAAACAGTAATAATCCCCTTTATCATCACTTTGTTTTTGACAGTCGATCATTGAAACAATACCAACAAACTAAGTTTACCTTTTCTCACATCTTTTGTTTAACAATTGCACGCCTCCCTTTCGTAATCGTAACTCCTCTTAACAAAGCAGACAGAATTTTTAAAATTCATTTCCAAAAAGTTACATAAAAGTCCCCCGCCCCCCAACAATGTTGAAATACAATTTTGATCATTATGCTAACCCCAGGAATGTTGTCACTCATTGTCATCCCAGAAATGATTGTCACATGACAATCTAATGACTAATTTCCTCGGGAAACTCCCTCATATATTACATCATCAACTTCCTGTTTTTGTGTCACCCAATGGAAAAATGCCGTCAGATCATATTGCTAATCTCCTATGGTATTCCAACGCTTTGTGATTAAAAAAGGACTCCTTAAAATGATGCCATTAAATGATTTTATCAGATAATTTTATCAAATGATTTCATCAAATGATCTCATCAAATAATTCCATCATATAGAATGTAGTGTAGAGGGTTGGCATTTTGTACAAGATCACTTTTTCAAAGTGCTTTGGTACCTCAAACTACTTTACTATATAAACACAAGTAAAGAGAAATTGAAGTAGATGTCAAGGCTATTCATGTGTTTATAAGTTGGCGTTTGTTATAACTTCTTCACTTATCGTCGAGTCTGGCTGAAGTCAAGTGGTATTCAAAACGGTGTGAGAAGACGAAAGCGATGAAATTTTGTGCGCTCATCTTTCTGGTTTATCTCGCAATTGGTGCTGTTGCTGGCAAGGAAAACAAACTTTGCCGCCGGATATTGGACAAGTTGTCAGATCTTGAGGACCTGATTAAGAAGAAACAGGCCTGCTGTCCGCCAGGTAAGATGTAGAAGATCTTTTTTGTCGTTTTAACGTTACTTTTACATCACCGCTTTTTTGGTCCGTCGGTTCTGAATTTCGGCTGGATTAAAAGTTATTGTTAACATAGTTTGGAATTTTGGTAATTACCCAGTTATGATCGATTGCTTGAAAGTTTTTCTCATCTCCTCAGAGCCAACACCCGCAAGTTCCTGCAAAGAAATATATGAAAAAGACAGGTAAGGAACGTACGATCGTTAAATTTGTGACTGAACGAGGGTGGGTGGCAAACAAACATATCGTGAAAATCCTTCTGCAAAAAATTGCGCACTGTAGGAAAAAAAGCTAAAAGCGCAAAAAAAGAAAAAAATATAAAAATAATTTATGCCAGTTGAGAATTCCACATCTCTTCCCCTTTACATGTAAGGATCAGTGTGAGTGATTTAAGAGAGTGTAAACTCGGCTGGATTTGTAAGGTTTCTTCTCTAATATCGTGATGGTGCGGATCTGGGCTCCTGTTTGGCTACACATCAAGAGTACAGTTTAAACACCTAAATAGCCTTGTAACAAGCCTTCACCCGTTGGAAATTGTGACATGTCTCCGTCCTGTTAACCCTGATTTTGTTTATCTCAGTATTATTCTCGCTGACCGTAATAGCGCTGAGCCAAGACTTCCCCGCGTATTCTTTGCGATGTCACGCAGTGCTGCTTCTTTTTTGCGTTGCGTGACATTCCAAAGAACTACCACGTAGGATTCAAAGAATATAACACTCTGATGCTCTCTCATTAGTGCCAGCCCGAACAAGGCGTATAACCTCAAGCTTGGGAACAAATATCTGTCTGTGTATTGTTCCATGGATGGGGAACTCGGAGACTGCGGTGGTGGGGGATGGACGCTGGTCATGAAGATTGACGGTGCAAAGGTACAGTGGAACCCCTCTAACTGGAAACCCTTGGGACCGTAGTTTTTCAAGAATGTCGAATGAAAACTTTGACTCCTTTCTTTCACTCCTGTTTGCTTCCCTTTGTCTCTTTTAAGTCAGTGAATGTTCTATAGATCATATTAAGGGGCCACGCTAAACCAGCATGCAATACGGACGTAGTGGACACTCTCAGTATTTTCTGGCGCGAGTTTGATGAAGCACTCATAGAGCGAAGTGAAGCAAAACTGGTGTAATCCCGGATTACTTTAGACACTAACTTAAAAATTGCCTCATCTTGCAGCACAACTTCAACTACGATTCAAAAGCGTGGTCTTCCAGGTCTTCAGTGTCTCCCGAAAATGGAGACACGGGGTTGGCTCACTTTGAGACCCTGTTACCAACGTACTGGAGCACGTCCTTTACCAAGATCTGTCTCGGCATGAAGGTCGATGGAGCAACCAGGTTCTTGCGAGTGAATAGGGCAGCAGCCT